TTTTAACGCCTCCCATCACACGACTTAGGAAGTAATAAAATATGTGTCAACTCCTGTGGTGGACGACGGAGAACATGCCTAACCAGTGAAGGCGACGCTTTGTGATAACATTATTTGTGGTATTTGAAAGAAGGTGGATGCGACCATATGATATTTTATCCACTCAACGGATCCGTAAAATGCATCTTAGATAAGAGTGGTCAAAGGCAGATAACTTCTTAATATCCTCCACTCTCATTGGCCATGTCTCAGAACCATATAGTAAGATCGAACGGATCACGGCAATATAGATGCGGACTTTCGTTTCGATGGTGATTTCACGACTTCATAAAGGCTTCGTCAACCGGAAGAAAGCATTTCTAGCTGCCGAATCATTATGTTCATTTTTTGCCTGTCCATTTGGTATTAGAGTGGGCCCAAAATATTTAAAATCGGGTACTTCCTCAAACGGCAATGAATTTACAAAAAAGAGGCATTTTATCAGCTTCATTTTTTTTACATTGATCTTGAGTCCGATTCTTGCTGCGATTATTCTTTTTATTTTGATTAAATCACAAAAATTTCTACCATTTCATTCAATTGACAAAATAACCAGTTTATGAATTTATTATTAATAAATAATTCAATACTTTCCTCATTGATGGTTGACATATGATAAAAAATTATTGTTTTCTTTGCAGGCTATAGTGACTGAAGTTCATAATATTGATGATGCTATCTCAAGACTACATCCTTCGTTAACTTCTCTCACAGGTGCGCTTTCGTTATTTCCTCAAAACCATTTATTGACCAAAGAAATGGTCGGTAACAATTTACTTCAATTTTGGCACTTTATTATTCGTTTTTATATTTCTTTGGACAAAAAATAGAGAGTCACATTAATCTAAGAGTACCATCAATAATTTGGAAAAAAACTAGTTTCAAATCAAAATATTAGTAAAAATTTTCGGGAAAAACAAAAACCAATCGATTAAATTAACTTTTCATCAAATATTTGATCATAGCAATATAAGCAATTGACCGAGTCTACTGGTACTTCTGGGGGAAAAATAGAGACAATTTTATAGTTTTTTTTTGAAGAGAGGAGGAGAATTGCAAGACAGTAAACGATTTATTTTTGCCAAAAAAAGTATTTAATACAATTCCATATGAAATAATTAAGCTATTCATTTTGAATCAGCAGCGGCAAAAAATCAGTTCGAATCATTTTTTTTGAATTTTTATTTTTGACTCGTCCATTTCAAAAATATATAATAATTTAATAATATTTCCAAGAATAATTACAAGTTATTATCAAGTTATACTCGTTTTTCAAGGAATTTAGAACTCGTTGAATTTAAAAAATTAAGATATTCGGTTTAAAAAGTGGTCTATTAGGTTCTTCGAAATCGAGTGAGAACTTTTTTTTTCGTATTCGCTAACCGAGTAACTGCTTGATATGATACCGAAATGACTGTTGTTCATGATGGGCGATAATTCATAGAAAATAGCTAAATTCATGACTAATAGAAGGTTTTTGCTAACTGATTAAGAATTTGTTAAAATAATATTATTTAGCAAAATTATCCCTGAAATCTTTAGATTAACAACTTAAAGTAATAAAAATGAAATTGCTCATTTAAATGAGATATAATGATGAGGTATAAATAGTAATAGTTACGAAAAAGTTTCCTTAAATGCGGCTTTTTTCTCCAATTAAAAATGTGCTTGAAATTAGAAAACATGTTTTCCTTGATGCTATCGGAATTATTCGCCGTTTCTCATTTTTATTCTCGTAATTACTTTTTAATAATTTTGGCTCATTTTATTCTTCTAGAAGGATTTTTTGTTCGGAGGATTTTTAAAATTTTGGCTTCTAAAATTTTAAAATCTTAAAGTTTAGAAATTTTAAAAAGTAAATCAAAAATTTGCAAAAAATTTATTTAATCGAACTGAATGATATTGGGAGCACACATGTACCTTTATTCTAAGTGGCTCTTTGGTGACTTACACCATAGTTAGTGGAGCCAACCAAACCAGAGACCGTTAAAAGTATTAAATGGTTTATATGTTTTGCAGGTTCGACATTGATCTCAGTGATTTTGGAAAAAAATCGTTTTCTTACTGTGATAAACGTTGGTGATTCTCGAGCGGTAGCCTGTGATTCATTTGGTTCTGCAATTGCACTTTCTGCTGATCATAAACCATCTGACGTAACAGTTTTGTGCTATGGAATCTTATGTTTGAAGCGAATATATAGAAAGAATGATAAGTTTTCTAGAGAAAAAATGGAAAATAAGGTTTTATTTTGAAAAATAATAGGTGTCATCGACCGAACGGCGAATGCAAAAATTATTTTTAGCTCGGCCCACCTACCTTGTCCTTATATTCTTGGCTACTGTAGGGAGGTCTTTATCTGTTTTATTCATCTAACGTTAGCTGATTGCATCCCGCTGGTCCTTTGGTGACCGTTGCCCAGCTGTTATTTGCTCGTTTTGTCTTATTATTATGTGAACGTGTCGATTTCCTTTCCACTCATATGGTGACCTTATCGATTCCTTTTCCACTGAGCTACCATCTTACTGAATTGATAGTCAATATCTTTTATCTTAATATCATTACTGTTCTATTGGGATGAAGCCTTCGATACTGTTACCTGGCGAAAGGCGAAAGTGGTAGTTCTTAAATTGAACTGTGTTAAACTGATTAATTTTTTTGGGTTGCTGACATGGACCACTGAGTTGAGTCCGTCTTTGGATTTTTTTTTTTTGATTTGATTTTTTCATTGATATTTAGTTTTTGCATTTGCCATTCGCTAACAAAGGATTTCTGATTTTTTTTTTCGTTGATTCGAGTGTATAATCACTTTTGGAATCGTTATTTGATTATTTCTCCATTCTTCTTCTAATTTTCTAATAGCATTCATCATTTCTGGTTCTTCCTGGGGCATTTGCTGTTAGTGTGACGGTGATTCGTTCGAGCGGGTGCAAAATGCTCGTCGGTCCCCAGTAGCATGCAGATTTCACTTTTGCAGTTATTTAGCCTCGTTAAGAAAGAAAGAAAAATCATGATGGCTTGTTCTAAATCACACCAATACACATTCGTTTATAATATTTCTCATCCTCTAAAAAAAGCAGCCCTTTTATTCAATGGACGACGTAGAAACTGTTCTTTTCGTCAAATGTTGTGGATAAATGTGGATGTAATAAGATTTTAATAGGGGTTTAATTTAAACATTTTTAGTCATAAATTAAAAGATTAGTGCAATTTTGTGATGCTGGAAGACTAATCAAACGCCTTACAATTTAAGACATTAGCCTCTAAAAGTCATTTGTAATGATGTTGGAGAGATATAGTGCAATCATTATATTCGTATGTGGATTCGCAATATTTGTCATTGACCAGATAAATTTATTTATTTATAAACGAATAATCGAATGATCCTTTCTTTTAGCGCTCCTTTCTTGAACCATAAATTTCCCCAACAAAATCTCTCTTAAATTTTTTGCACTTCCTATTTTCCATTTGGAATTATGAATTATAAATTGAAAAGAAAACACAGATATAAATCGAAAAATTTGAATTGTAAATGCTTAAAAGCTTAAATGGTACAAATTTTGGTTTCATTCTGGTCTTTATGTTAAGAGGCTAACGCTTCCCATTTTAAATTAGACTGTTGGTAATTTCTGCCAAGAAGTCATATGGTGATAGAAATACAAATGAGTTGCCAGCAATACTCGGATTATTCCTATCAGAAGCAGAAGCGGAACTCAGTGCGATTCTCAGTGTAATAGTTTTAGTGCTCAACTATCTTGCCTCATGATCATTAACTTAACCAGTAGTTAGATAAGCCTCTTATATATACCACATATTTAAGCTTTAACGGCATATATTTTGAAATTAAAACCAAATCTGATCTTTGTCTATCACCTTATAAGGTATGCAAAATTTTAGAAATTTAATAATTTATTTGATTGAACAAAGTTAGAAAAGTGGATTTCCTCCATTAAGGATGGTTGGAATGATGGATTATTGCTCAAAGCCTCGAGCGTCAAAGCTTGGGCAGTGATGTATTTACCATTAATTTACTTTTATCTCCACTGAGCAGTCTTCTCGGTACAAAATTTGTCGCATAATTGTATCTGCATCAATATTAAAGTAATGATCCAAATTTCCTTTGTTAAACATTCTCGACAGATTGTAAAAAAGGCTAATCTTTCTAGCATTTTGATAGTTTAAGAACATTTCGTGGGAAATTTTGAGTTTACCTCATTTTCAAGTTGAAATTTACTAAAGAATGCCGAAATGTCTTTGTAGGTGTTTTAAAGTTCAAAATTGAACTCAAGTTTTGGCTTTCGAAAATCATCTCCTATCAGTTATGCCTGGATTTTTTTATTCTTAGATGGCCTCAATAAATAATTATGAAAAATTTGAAAAAATGATCAAAAAGAAAAATAGGCGAGCTATTTTGTTTTCGAATTTATTTAAGCATTTAAAAATGTCAGTCAATCAATATAAATATTATAACTAATATATTTAAAAATTATAATATTGTGGCTAGGATGATATTGGGGCTAGGACGACCGAATAGCACGTTACTTCTATAAAACGTCATAGGTTCGGTCGTTATTTTGAAGAAATAGAAGAATGGCTATTGCATTTACGTTTGATCGAATATTATTGGATAGCATTTCAAGTAAAATAATCTTGCCATATCTGATGCAAATTTTCTCATCAAACCATCAACTATTCGATATACTGCACAATATAAAAAAGCGGTTAGGTTAATCCCATGGTTGTACGGTCAAAGTTAGGAAATTTTGTCATCATTTGGAATCGCTTTATGATAGAACAGGTGAGTCGCCAACGCTATCTGGAACTTTAAATAGCAGACTTAATCCTGTCAAGTTCTGGAGTCTAATCATTGCTCTGAATTCGGCTGTATAATAATTCGGCTATCCAAATTTTGCAAATTTTCATTACTTACCTACCTAGCATCGCTCATCTTTCACTGGATGATGATGGAATGTACGGTGCTTGATTGATCAAAGCAACATATCTCTCAACTGACCTATCATATTATTTATTTCAATAATTAAACAAAGTCAAAGTGTAACTTTCTTTTCCTTTCCGCATATTGGTGTGAGTTGTCGAGATAACTTTTTTTATTGTTTTAAGCTGAATAATCTTATGATAGAATAATTTTAATTTTTGCATGCTCATCAAATTAATCGTTGTTTTCAGCTGTAAAAACCATTTTATTATTGTAGAAAGATTCATTACTAATAATATTTTTAGGCAAATGAGCGAAGAAGAATTGAAAGTGCTGGTGGTTTTATTGAGTTTAAAGGAGTTGAACGTGTGCAAGGCATTCTTTCAGTTACAAGGTTATTCCTTTTTTCCTTTTTTCTGGAAGAAATGCAGAGCGAATCCAGGAAAAATTTTTTCTCTCCAAACTAGACTCCAAATTAGCTATATAATTATAATTTTAAAAATTTTTCAAATCCAGCTAATAATCATATAATAATCTTTCTTTTTTTATTTTTTCTTTGTTGTTGTCAATGTTTTTGAAGTTTCAAATCTCCATTTAATAAATTAGCAAAATTTTGCCAGGATTTTCTTAGATTTTTCATTCCAAATGATGCTGACGGCTCATTTATTTAATTTCAATTGGCGCTCTGCCGACGTAATTCTTATTCTAATAGCAAGCTTTTTTTAATAATAGCACTCATTATTGGTTTGGTTAATTCAGCTAACTTTCACCATGGAATCTTTTGGAGATATAGGAAATTATCGTCTAGGATCATCTAGGCTCGACGTGAATCGGAGCAATTGTACCACCTTGCCATCTCCTCTCCAGTAAAAGAAATGATGGCTGCTGGTAGAAGAAAAAAAAGCTAGATTTTAATGAGGAAATATAAGATTATTAATCACTTTTATTATTATTTTATTGTCTAACTCGAAATTTTTTAACTTCAGCGAATTAAACTTCAAGAAAGCAATAGTGAAATGAAAAAAAAATCTCAAAAATTCTTATGTCTATAATAAATCAAATAATACGGAAAATAAAATAAAATAAAGGGGCGAATTGCTTCATTACGTATTTATTTATACTTTAAACTATATTATTTTAAAATCGCTTTTAGGCATTTCGAATTTTATTTAGATAATTCAAATAGCAAATGAAGAATCTCTCAGGAAATAAAGGAACTGCTTTTTTTCATTCTGAGGAAATAAAAAAGACATTTCGAATTTATTGAGAATTTTTCTTTTTTCCTTTTTATAAGAAGTTATTTTGCGAAAAATTTCAGAGATTTTATCATCGACGAAAAAAAGAAAAAAACTTTTCTTGCTGACCACAATCCTGATGAGAGTAAAATCCAACTAAGCTACTAAATAAGCACCCATCAGTCCGTCATCGTCTGTCGCCATTTTCTCCTATTTACTTTTCCAGATATATTTTTTTGATTCCCTTGATAAATTTCATCGTAGAATTGTTGAATTCTTGCATTTACTATTTTCATTTCCATTCCTCTTTCCTTTCGCTCTACTTTACTTCACTCTGTGGGATTAAAATTTTATTTTTCATGCAAAACTTCTATATTTATTTGAAATTTTCTTCATTGCAATCTGCTAAAGTTCGAAAAAATTTATTTTTCATTGATTTTTTTCCATTTTCAAGATTCATTTTTTCTGAAGTTTTATCATTGTCAGGGTAAAAGAGTATTAGAAGCTGTAGCAAAAAAAACTTATTACTTGCAGTCAACCTGACAAATACCACGCTGTTCCCTCTCAAAGCAGTGATGAATATGAGTACGACAAGTTTTGACAATATACGTCAAAAAATAACCTACTGATTTGCAACAGTAGTTGATCTTGAAATGATAAAAATTTAGACTTATGCGTCTGTGACTCGTAATGATATCTGTATACCATTAAAATTATGGTAATGGTAATAGTAGGAAAAATGCTAATTAAAAATAAATGTTCATAAGAAATATTATATTATATAAAAAAAATATTGAGTTTTAATTGCAAAAATCTACTGATGGCTTCAATTTTTTTAATTTTTTTCTAATTTCTTGTTCCTTTTTTGCCTTTAATCATTTTTAAACTTTTCTGGAAAATTAAAGAATAAAAAAATTTTAACCGATTTCTGGGTTATATCTTTTTTATTAATACACTTTTTCATAATTTAAGGAATGAATTTCCTTATTTTTAGGAATTATAGGAATTCTATATTGCATTGATATTGCCAAGATTGGTTAAATGCAACTTAAGCTTTTGGTACTTTAAAAATAAGCTGTGTAATTTCTATAAAATGTAGGAAAGGAAATGTTCAGAAAGTTTTTTCAAAGGTTTAAGTTCAATTTATGCAAAGAAATAGGACCAGTAAACTATCATCAAAAAAAAATTTTTTTTAACACTTCTTTTTCAGAGCGTTCGGCGATACAGATTTGAAGCGTTTATGTGTATTAACTGCCCATCCGGATATCGTACGAGTTGATTTACGGCAGATTACGCTTCGTTTCATTTTAGTAGCTTCCGATGGATTTTGGGATGTTTTAAGTAATCAAAAAGCAATTAATCTTGCTAAGAAATTCCTCGCAAAAGAACCACAAGCACATTGGCACAAGTTATTCTTTTAACATCTTCGATATTACAAATATTTTTAAATTTCCTCGATTAGGGAAACTTTAATTTTTCAAAATTCTACTAAATAAGTGAAGAAAAAAGTTATTTTTTCTAATTAATTGCAGAAATTTTTAAGTTAAGATTTGAACTGCTAGAGCCACAATTATTTGTCTTAATTTTCACCTTCGAATTACCTTCGGCCTTTTTTTGGTCACCCAGTTCGTGTCCCTTTCATCTAAAAGTACTCTTGATCTATAATTTGTCTAGCTTCTTTCGCCAGAGAGTTATTGGGGTTACAGGCGGATTTCTAGTAACATCAGCTTACAGTTTAATGGTATTAAATTCATGCGTAAATTCTGATAAAATATTCAGCGAAATAGATGATATACATATGAAATTTATCGCACTCAGTTTCCGATTTCTGGTCAGCTCAGGGAATTAAGATAATTACAGTTGATTGTTACGTTTTTTTGCAAATTTCAATTATATCTATTTATCTATTAAATAAGTAAGTAATTTAATTATCAACGGCTAGTATATATTGAAGTGCTAGACAACTGCACGAATCCTAAAAGTTAGCTTTCACTTATTCTGCCTTTCATGACCTAAGGACTTGTTATAAGTATTACAACAGTGGGAATTATATAAGTGCATATGCATATGCGTTATACAGAGTTAAAATTTATCTTTTCATTTGCTTTTTCTTGTAATCTAAGTAAATAAATAAGTAAAACGTACAAATATGAAGTATTTTGAATACGAATGAACTAGTCGATAAATTCGGAAGAATTCTTAGAACTAATTCATTAATGCTTGGTTCTTTTTTTCATGGAATTTCATGGATTCAATGATAAATAAGCAGGAATTAATTTAAAAGTCATTACTTAGCTTATAATAGAGATAGAAATAAATTACGAATGATTTAAAGAGATGAAATCCTCAGAGTTATTCAAGTCCACTTATCCCTCATTAATCAGTGGAAGAGAAAACATACAAAAATCGTTCTTATCCTGGAAATCTTTTTTCTTTCCGTTCGGTAATAATATTTTGCTCTGGATAAACATCTTTTAGGTTGGTTGGATTAACTTTTTTCCCGAAAAAGAACAGAATCACTAAAAACACTCGTCTCATTGAGATTTTTATTTATTTAAAAGGAAATTTTCTTTCTTTTTTTGTTACTTTTAAAACATTCGCCATTTCTGCTTTTGTTGCTTCCACTCAATAACGATGAAATTACTTTCTTTGAATATCATTTAAGGATAGAAATGTTGATCTATTTGGTAGGGAATTCAGGCTCTGAAATTTGCCTTTAGTTGAGGCAATCTTGGACCATCCTTTGAAGCAAGAAGCAAGCATACTTTTTTAAAATTTAATGAAAATTTAAAATAATGATTATAATCTGTATTTCTTAATAGGAGACCGAATCTTTATTTTATATATATATATATATCTAAGGTGTATAATTGTATTAATTTTTTCTCATATTTTTTTCCGTTATCAAGATGATTGCTTTTAATGATAACAAAAAAATCATTTCTTAAAGGATCTGTTTTATTAGATCGATAACCGTGATAATAAAAATCCCTAAAAAGCATTGAAAAGTAATTATAATTGCAATAATACTTTTATTTCACACATCTTAATATTCAAAAATTTATGGGTTATGAGTTATATTATGTTAAAACAATTGCTGTGATCAAGCAATGGCAAATAGTTTTTTTTGAATAATGAATCTAATTTTTCTGGATTTAATTTCTTTCTTAGCTCTTAAAGAAGTTCAAATATATATAGTTCAAATATCTTATTTTTGCATTTCCCTTTTATTTCTTTTATGATAAGAGATTATTTTTGGATGACCGATTTTGAAAAACGTTTATTCTATTTTTTACTTCTAAATGCCGAATTATTCTGATGGAATTTGTTAAAGTTATCAGAAATAAGATGTAAAAAAATTACAGTTCGATTAGCTTTCCATTAGTGGTCCTAACAGTTTATTAAATAATTTATTGGAAATCTACCAGATATTGTCTTTATGGATATCCACACATCCATGTTCATATTTTTGGACTATTTATAGTTTGGTCTATGATTTTTAAAATATTTCTGGATTTTTTTTATTTTTCTTCGATTTTTACTAAATTTTAATGCCTAATAAGAAGTGCACTTTTATTTTTTAAAGGAATTATAAATTAGAGAAATTAAAGCAAAATTAATATCTTTAGATTAAAATAAGGTTCCTGAGATACCAGGTCTTTTTGTCCGTTACATTAAAATTTTTCGTTTCAGAGTTAAATTTGACTAGAAATTGTATAAATTTTGAAAACAGTTCAAATTCAAATTGATAGTTGGAATAAAACTGGAACTTTTCGTATATGATATGAGTGGGAAGGGTCCAGAGTTCCCTAAGCTTTCTTCGAATTTCTACATTGCTCTCTATCTTTATTCTCTATATTCTCTATTAGAACATTTTTTATCAAGAAATTTCAATTTAAGAACTTTCAGAGAAAATAATTTAATACCTTAGAAGATCTAAATATATATATATTTTTAAATATTTTCAGAATAACCGAGTATTTAACGAAAACGGCATTAAGTTTGGGTACAGAAGATAATGTTTCGGTTTTGTTTCTACGCTTGTAATATTGGATTTTTTAATTGTTCTTGAAATATTTCCTGGAAAGAATTTATTTTATTCGAAGACGTCGTTGTCTAATTGGCTTTTCGACTCTATTTTGCTATTTATTTTCTTTTTCCCATATTTTTCTATTTTTCGGTTTTTTGGCTGGAATATTCCGTTTATTATTGGCTCGTCTATTTCTATTCAAACGTAAATAGTCAACATTGCTTTCAAAGCTCGATTAAATAGAGAAATATTGTCTTAATAAATAGGTCCTGCCTTCTAGCTAAAATTACACATACGAAACGAGCGATCCTCGAATTTTAAGAAAATTAGTTTTTTTTTCGCTTTTTTGTCGTAAAGATTGACAATTTATCTTACTTAATGGCCATACAATCACTTTGCGCATTTTTAACGAAGAGGCATGTTGATTTTCATTCGGAGAATTCGGAATATTTCCGATTTGTCGCAAACACATCAGATGCAATAAATGTATCACTTCTTAATCGCATTACTTATGCTTATATAGCACCCATCATTATTGTTATTGGTATCATCGGTAAGTTAATTTTTGAAACTTTTCCACTAGGAATAATTATTTATATTTATTTGCTTAAACAAAGACCAAGCAGAGCATATATCCATGCGCTTGAATTTGTAATCATGCTATAACATAAGTGATATAAGAATGCTAGCCAAAGATTAAGTTAAACGACTGCATCAAAATACCAAATAATTCCTTATCAGTATTGCGGAAATATTTCGAATTGCTATATATATATATATATATATATTTATTTATGCTAGTTGATAGGGGGGTTGTCAGGTTTTTTATTTTATTTTTGTTTATCGGAAATGGAAATTTCTATTTTTTCACTATATTGTCAAATAGGAATGCTTTTTTTAAAGTTTAAGAAGTTTGAAAAGTTTAAGTTTACTATTAGATTTATTGGGGATAAATATTTAAAGTTTCGAAAAGGTGACTTATTAGGAAGGGATGTTTGAAGTGAAGGTACATATCGAAAAAATTTTAATCTATTTATAACTAGATTCGAAGAGCTTATCAAGAATTTTCCATATTCTATTTTCAACTATCGCTACAGGAGAAGAAAAATTTCTCGATTGATTTCAAGAAGCGCTAGGCCACCCAGTTGATTTTTAAACAAGGATGAGAAAATTTTTAAAATATGTTTAAAGGAATTTGAGCTGCTTCTATTAGCATTTTATAAGCAGATAATTTTTATTTGTGAATGCTTTTGGATTTGTGAAATTTAATATATTTTAAATTATGAAATTTTCGTGAAACCCAATCGTTTTACGAGGATCTCTTATTTTTAAAAAAATCATTAGATAAAGAATCATGCATAAGAGTTCGATGCTACAATTAAATCTTATAAATAAGGAGAAAAAAGGTTGCTATTAAATTAGCTTATAAAAAACGTGCCCCAGGCTTAAGCACAGTGTTTTGCCATTTCTGGTTGGATTCATTGCACTAACCATTTATACCTCACCAGTGAGTTATTTGATGGTAGAAGTATAGTTGTCTATAGATATTATATATACTGAAGATTTGTTAGCAAGATTATCAAATTGTCAATGTTAAGAAAATTTTTTCATCCCAATTCATGATGAAAATCATTGGAATGATTTCCCATCAATCGATTTCGATTTCTTTATATTGGATCTCTTTATATAACTGATGAAAGGAAAAATAAGAGATAAATAATCTCATTTTAGAAATTTATTTTTCGAATAACGATTCCTGGTTTTGTTGAATTTTTTGATAAAAAAAAGAAAAATTCTCTTTTTCTCTCAATTCAATACAGCAAATTCAGTTATTCGAATTATTTGGTGGATTTTTCATGAACTTTTCATTTTTGAATATTGACCAGCTGAGAAGTACATTGGTTGGATATTAATATTTCCATCAAGCGAATGAGAACAATGGTTTTAAAAATATCATGTTTAAACCCAAGCGCATGTTTATTATCTTGCTTGACCCTTTTCTTATCTATTATTACAATAAATTATTCAATAATAATTTTTTGATGAAATCCAATTTCGGAAATCTCGACAAATTTTATGACTTTTTAGTGAAGTATTTGTTCTATTTAGCATTGCTTTCTATGCTTTTTGATGATTTTTAAATGAGTTTTTAAAAAAATTTTTTTAAATTAGTATCGAATAAAGAAAATTGCTTTAAAAAAGCGGTCTTGACAATTGGATTTCAAATATAAACATTGGTTTATAATTATTATTTTTTATAATTATTTGGATTTTTTGGTAAAAGAATTATTCTCGACCCAAAATCTAAACTTTTATTTCTATTTCCTTTAACCTTCCTCATTGCGTTATCACTTCTAAATTTTTCAGGAGACATTATGACAGTTGCCACTTTAACACATCCAATATTACGACGATCTAGTATAATTTATACATATTTAATATTACTCGCACTGACTGATTTGGTATATTTTATATTTTAAGGGAATTAAGGGAATATGAGAAATTAACAAGAATTCGGGTGAATCGTTTAAATAAATTGCTTTCAGTTAACTCATCTTTCGATAATACCAATGATTCTATGGTTGCTTGATTGGCGACTTTGCTCCTATCCATCAGCGTTGTATTACGCTCATATTGGATTCCCACTGGTATTAATCATTGGCTTTTTTTGTACTATAATATAATAAAGGCATAAAAGTTTTCTAAGTAATTTTAAATAAAACGAGAGACACTGGTGACTTTTCATTTGCTATTTCTTGTTTTCCGTATTAAATTAGTTTGCTATGCATTCTTGTTTATCAATCGAGCCCTGTAACAAAACTTGAGGAAAGCCCATAATTCCAGCTGGGAACCATGTGGTTGAGTGGTGTATTGCTTAGAATACCATTTCTAACATCATATTAAGCCTCTGACTCTAATAGAAATTAACCACTAATAAGTAAATTATTCATTATGAAACTGAGGAAAGAAGTATGCTGAAGGCTGTTTTAAATAATCCTCTGACCAGAAATGGCAAATAATTGTTAACTAAATGTAATTTAAGGTAAATGCGCTAATGGGTGTAAGTGTATGGATTGTGGTTTTTCTAACGATGAGTCAATATATGGCTGTATGTCATCCTTTTCGCTACTCATACCTTAGGTACTTTTTGTTATTTATTTTCTCTTATTTTCTAACAGTCAGTTTTTCAATTCTGGTCGAAGGATGAGGAAATGAATAAAATGGTAATATACAAAGGGTATAGGCTCCTGAATGTTAGTGTTCTTTAGTGTTTAAATGTTTACCTTAATTTAAATATTTATTCGTGGATTATTAGCTTTTCTTTCTCAGCTATCTAATAATAGTTCAAACTAAAATATTTCAATTTTTGTATTATTGCATAATGCCATTTTTACTTTTTTACATAATTTCGTAATTTTCGTAATTCTTAAATTCTTTTTTTTCAACCTCTAAATCAGCATAACGGATGAATTATTCTGTAGGATTTTCGCACTAAATGAACAGTTATTTTCTGCAAAATTTAATTGTTATTGAACAATAAAATACAATTTTAATACAATTTTTTTGTATTCCATTGCAAATAATTAAATTTTTCGGAAGATATTTTAAGATTAAACCAAATTTTGTTTATAAAGAGAAGTAGGAATTTTTCACCATTTCTGAAATTCCTAATTAATCTTAATCCTTAATTTATTGAAATAGCGGTGTACTTAAAAAAATTTCTGAAATTGAAAAAATTAAAATTTTTTTGTTCTTGAAGAAAATATGCTTCAGGTCACGCAAAACATGTTTTTGGTTGTCAGGATTGGCCTATATTATCAATTTTTGTATATACATTCCATGGGCAACAAAAAAGGCGGTTTTTGAGGTGTAAATTGTGCTATTATATTTGAATGCATAATGATTGAAACAAATTGCTTACTGATGTAGTGGATGTTTACAACTTAAATCATCGTTTTAAATATAATCGAATTATCTATAAAATTATTTAATACAAATTCGCCATTCCTTCTTCTAATACCTCTCACCATTACTAATTATATTGGCTACAAGAGTAAGACCTTTCCAAGCTACATGATCGGATGCCATCGTCGACAGTAATAGAAGCCATTCTTTTTTCCATCTTCTAAGTCCATATATCGCTGGTCTACCTATATGCTTAAAATCTTTCCTGACTGTATCAGTCCGCGCTTTCGATGGTTCCCTTGATTTTGATGTTAACCATCACATGGTTCAACAAGTTCGTGTCAACTCCTGTGAAAAGCTATGAAGAACGTGCTCAAACCAGCGAAGGCCACGCTCTGTGATAATATTATTAAGGTGGTATTTGAGCGAAGATGGATATAGTCATGTGCGAATTTATTCGCTCTATGGATCATAAAATGTATCTTAAACAAGGCTGATAGCTTCTCTCCATTCTCAGTGGCCATGTTTCGCAGCCATATAGTAAAGTCAAGCGAATTTCAGCCATATAGAGACGGATTTTCGTTCTCATGGTTCCATAAAGGTTTCGTCAGTTGGAAAAATACACTTCTGTCGTTATCCGGGTCGTAATTTCGTCTTTTGCATGGCCATTTGGTGATAAAGTGGACCTAAGGTATTTAAAGTCGGGCATTTCCTCGACCGCAATGAAATGATAAAAATAGGTATTTTATCAGTATTTGGTATATAAGACGAAAAGGCTTTCGTTTTATTTACATTGACCCTGAGATTCGATTCCACACAGGAGTAAACCTATAAAGTTTAATCCAATAATGGTGAGAACTCTAAGAAAAAACATTAACCCTATTCTCGATTCTCGCTGCTGATACATTGTTTAGCATTGTTTGCATTCTCCAATAGTGATTTCTGTTCCGCTGTGCTGCTGTTGCAATTCTTCGAAATATCCGATAGTCAGAATCTGATATTCCCGCTTTGATAGCGCTTTCACAGATGGACAGTTGCTTCCGATACCCAATTTGCGTATTTACTAATGGCATAACCTAGTGTGAAGATGGCTGACTTTCGGAGACATCTCTTTGCTTTGGACTAATATTCGTTTGCCATTGCAGAAAAGTCATTTGATACCATGGAGGTGCTTTAATAATTCGGTTTGAAATGCGCTCATGATCACCAAAATTTTTAGTTTGAATTGAAAGAACTTGGAGGATGTTGAGATAAAGCTCGTAACAAACATAAGTAATGCGAACAAAAAGAATAAATAAATCAAAATCTCATTGTTTTCGCAAAAAAAATTATAATAACTTTTATATTCAAGGTTTCATTTGAAGTTGCACAATGCAAATTTGTTGTTTGCGAGCACCAAATCGAATTGTGGTTCAAAGTTTATGAATGGACACGCGAAACGATTAGTCGACTTTTGCCTTTTGTTTTACTCGCTTATTTTAACTCAAAAATCTTGATAACATATCGGAATACGAAGCAAGATCGTCTTCGCTGCCTTGCTAGCAATACTCAAAAAGGATCAATAGGAGTTAAGAGTGAGAAAGTAAATTTATCATCAGTGATTATTTCTAAGGATCCAAGAAAAACATTTGCAGTTATTTATTTTAATTTTTACCGAGTGATTTACTCCCGACACTTCTGATTTCTGCTAGAGAGTCCAATCGGAGCAAAGTCTCCGGTCTTGTTTATATTTAAATAAGAAGTTTACTCGTACTAGAGGTAGAGGAAAGAAATGAAAGAACCATAAGACTTGATATGATAGCCTAGGCGATATAGATTCGGTTGAATTACCCACGTATTAAAAACCATTTGAAATCGCATTATTTCTATAAAATATAAAGTTTAATATAAAGTATAATATAAAGTTTAATATAAAGTTTTTTAATATAAAGTTTTTTGCTCTTATTCTCGAAATTTGCTTCATTTGCTATTTTTCTAAAAATTTATTTATTGGAAAATCATTATGTATAGGAAATTGAAACAGTGTTTCAGCTAATTTATTTATGGATAACGTTTCTCACACATGAAATTTTCTTAAAATTAGATTCTCTGTGTCTAAAACAATATTTAAAATGCGACTGCTATTTTTTCAATTTTTTTTATGACGTTTAGAAAAATTATTTTATTGCTTTAGAAATTCCTTTAATAAAATGAATTTTCAACTTTTAGAAATTTCTTTAATAAAATAAATATAGGGAACCTAATTAAATTAAGATTTTTATTTCAAATGACAGATTTACTTCTGCCAGAGTTGAGGAATTATAATTTAATTGCATATGGAACAATACTAACTTTATCCCTGAAAACTGTTGAGAAGTTTCTTTGTAGTTGCTTTCAGGAAGAACGGCGTTTATTTATTTTATTATTTTCAATTGTGATAATATTTTTTATATGCACAATTCCGGCTGCTCCGTTAACAATATTTGTCTCCGATTCGAGATCGAGAAATTTATCGTTTCAGGTGTTTTCTATATTTTATTTTAAACAGATCGATCGTTTGGCTTCATTATTTGGCCTCACTGAGAGGAGATGTATTGAAATTTTCTGATTACTTTCTGATAAGGGACTGATAACGGATGCTATTTAGATCCATTACTCAAGTAACCATAGAAACTTGGAAAAAAGCTTGTTTTTCGTTATAAACAAGCACTTATTCAAGTAGAATGTACAAAACACTGTGTACTTAATGCCAATATAAATAAAAGTGAATAATCTTTTTTCGAAAATTGAAATTTCTTTTTTCGCTACTTTTTAAAATTAGAAATAGGATTCAAGAACTCAGACTATAATTACCATAATTACGAAAGGCGTAATTTCAAGAACCATTTTTTCTTAATTTGGTCGTTAATTATATTTTGGTATAGATTATCCGAGCTATAATAAATGTTATGGAATTCACGAAATTCGCTTTAAATTTTTATTTCTATTGCCTTATTAATCCAGATATTCGTCGTGTATGCATTGTATTAGCTCGCTGTGAAAAAATCTCCAGGCAACCTCGAATTAAAGGTTTTTTTTATTCTTTTCTTTAGAACAATACTTAAGAAATGAAATGAATATATACTAGCGCTCACCATTTCTGATTTGGCTCGTCCCAACATTATGGCTAGAATTTCGTCAGCGATTCACTTATCGATAGATATAGGTGGAACGAGCACAGTCTGGATTTTTAAAGCATTTCGTTAGCATTAGCGACAAGAACCTTCACTCTCAACTCGCTAATCTGGGCTATTATTTTTTGTATCACCTATTTCAAGAAGAAGAATTTTTAAAGAATTTTTACCGAATTTTCAAGTAATTCACTCAGTTTGGATTCTTTTCATTTATTTATTTTTTTATTGATGACGATGTATAATAAAGATATAGCATGGTTTTCACGGTAAATGTTAAATTTTCTATAATTTTTCGCGTACTTTTTAAGGACAACCAGTGAATTTGATTTCTCAATATACTCGATCAACTCGTTTATGCGACACTTCACCATTGACATTTAGAAGTAATACTTTACAACCATCGTCCAAGAAAACTGTGGTTTTTTCGAAATCTGTATTTGGGTGAGAATTTTTGACTATTACAATTTGCATTTATTAATTCTTTTTATCCTACCAAATGCTTTTTTTGGGCGATATGCATTGTTTCAATTTTTCTTTTGTTTTTTCTTCTAATAGCTTGCAATATTACTGATTTGACTAGCTCGACTGATAGTGATAATAGTTCTCCAAGCCTTCCGATTCTTGCTAATAGTCGGTTAATAAAAAATAGGGAAGAGAAACTTTATTTTCTTTACTTTAAAAAAAAGAAAAAAAAGCTAAGCTAAAATTGAGATCTCGATATTAAACGAATTTTTTTATTTCATTCTTACTTGGATCCCAGTTATAATGTCCTTATTCAACTCCTTGATATCATGCTAGTGTAATTCTTTAGCATGTTTAGCTTACTAACCTAATATTGCAGGCTTCTTCGACTTATCAGGTGAGTTGGGCACTTTTGACTTATATTCTTCAATATTTATACCAATTCGTCAATAAAAGTTACAATGCCAATAACAAATTGAAATTTGCAAAATTGACAAAAATTTTTATACAAAACTTTTCAAACTTTACTACAAATTTTATTTTCAATGATTTGAGAGTGTCAAACCAAACGAAATCCACTTGCAATATATGCGCGAGCTCGATACTCTCCAATCTATTTTATTTTATTTTGCATTCGGCAACTCATTTTTTGTAATCTAATTGTAAAGGTTGTAAATATTTGAGGATTATTCCTCTTCTTTCGGTGCACATGTGCTTTTTACTCTAAAAATAAGCTCGTTTTTCAACAATCCAGATTATGATGTCAACTTAATTCTATGACTTCCTTGCAGAATTGGTCTTGTCCGATAAGTTAGCGGACTAACCAGAAATGGTGAGCACTATTAGAAAAAAGTTGAACAAAAATAGATTAAATTCAAATGGCAATAGAAGGTTTATTGCTTAGTTAAGATAAGTTAAAAAATTGCAAATTATCATTCAAAATGATTAGATTTTATCAAAAATATGAATCAAATAATAATATCAAGTCAAAAATCTCCTATTAAATTCCTCTTTTTCCATTTATTATCTCTTTATTATAAATCCTTTTTACTAAATTAAATTACTTTTTTCAATGATAGTTAGGTAAATAACTAGTTTTCTGTTGGATCGAGAAAGGGGAATGAGCGAGGGTATGTCATTCTTATTCAAGATTTGCGATCATAGGTAAAAACATTTTATTTGTAGGTCAAATCCCGTAATTAGCGGAATTATTGGAAAGAACGACGATAATTGGGATAAAGTACAAGTATTTAAAGATTCCGATCTTATTGCCGATATCAATGAAAATACGAGTATGTTGTGATTTAAAAAGCAATTTTGGTGAATAGATTTTTTATTCGCAAAATTTTGTTTAACTCTTGCATGTATTTATTTATTTAATCTTCGCTATTTATTTATTTTCAGTTACTGTGGTTATTTTAACCAATTAAATGTTTCATTTGCGTTAGAAATCGGTAATAATAAATGAAAAATCCTAGATTTTAGAATTTTCCATTTGAAATGATGGCTGCACAATTAATTTTTTTTGAATTTTCCATTAACTACTGACTAATTTAATTTAATCGCTAAGTATTCAATACAAAAAAATATAAAAAAGTATAATTTTTGCCAGAAAAAATAAGACATTTTAAAATTTTTTTAGCACTTAAAAGCATCAAAAAAACATTAAATGTAGAAATTTGTTTGGGAAAAAGAATTAAAATAAAATATATTTCATTGCCATTTTTCATAAATTCGGTTAAACTTTATTGTTTTAATTTTAGAATTAAATTTTAAGCTCCAAATTTAAAAGCATTTGCGTTCTTCATCGTCGAATTTGAATTGCAAATTTATAATTCCACCATCGAACCATTGCTGAATAGTTGATGTTCGAGTGACATAATCACTAGGAATCTCCAGTTTGATTTCACGTTTGCATGGCTGAATCGTGATTATTATCTTCATGAGAATTTTTATGAGAAAATTTTCAAAATTTTGAAAAATTACAAAATAAGAGAATATAAAATAGAAAAATACTGGTAATATAATTTCGTCGAATTTTTTCTTAAAAAAATTAACGAGAAGTAGAATTAAAAAAAACATTAAATCCACGATTGCAATTCGTATATATCTTAAGATACGGTTCCATGGAAAATATAGAATCGGTTGCCGCGGTTAATTCATAATTTCCATCGCCGTCAGTTCTTGTTTCTGCTAACTGATTGTTGAAACCTCAAAAATACGCTTCCTTTTTTATTTGTTAGCTGAAGAAGGTAAATTTCTATAAACAATATATTTTTTGCAGTACAAACCACTTCTTAGTTTGCTTCACTCTTGATTCTTAGTCAGAAAATTACACCAATATAGATTTGTCTATGGTACTCAGATTTTGCTTTCTAATTCCGTCAAGAATGAGAAAGTATTGACATTCTTGAATTCATGGCTAATTAAAATTTTTAGGCTTCATACAATATGCTTCGATCTCTTGATCTTGAATCAGATTTAATCATTTTCTTAAAAAAAATTACCAATCGCTTTATCGTTATATAACTTCACAGTTATTCCTTCTGCTGACGAATGGCCACAAATCAATTTACCTCTTATTCCGAACGATTGTTGCCGGAACGCCGCAGTAAATGATATAAAAAAATAAAGCCATGTCCAGAACATGCTAAAAATCGACATCTACTTTCTCATCAATTAAGTGATCTTGAGAGATTCTTACCCCTTAAGAATCTCTTATGAGCTCATTTAACGATAGATTTCATGGAATTTTATTCAAAATATTTTGGACTATTGCACGGTTATGAGATTCATTTTTAAGACTAGGAAATAAATTTTTCCAAATGACAAATGAGAATTTACGATCGCTTGCATTAAATAGCACTTGTTTAGCATAAAAACCCAAAACTCTGAATCGAAGATTCATAAAAGCTCAAATAGAGAAAACATGGCAGATAGTGCCTCAGATCATCGTTGAAAGGCAACGATTAGATTCGCCAGGTAGGAATGGACTTTTCATTAAAAATCCAAGTGATGTTGGAAATCCGTTTAGCCAATTAATCCTCCGGCAAAAATTTCCAACTGTACTAACAGCCAAAGAAAATAGAAATGGTGAACCCCAACCTTTTATTTCTTCTTATAAATGCTCATTTTATCTCTTATTTCTAAATTTTTTATCAAAAATGATAATTTTATTACAAAAAAATTCTCAGAAAGAAGTCAGAGAAATATGAAGAAAGAGCATCCGCACAGTTTTATTTAACTATTGAAAGACTGATCATTTCTGTCATTCGCCATGTCCTCGATGAAATTTCTGTCAAAATAAACTTTCTTGAATGGTATATAAATTTTTTAATAGAAAAAATATGTTCTTTTTTTGTTATTCTCGCTTTCGAAATGTTTACGAATTATATTATATTGAAAGTTCTTCGAGTTGAGAAAAATTTCTATTCTTTACATTTTCCATACGAAGAATAATAAAATCGAACAAATATTGCCCATTTATTTATTGAAAACCTTGATTCTTTCAAACTGAACCCAACGATTATCTGCCGGGTTTATTCGACCAGTGGCATCTCGCTTTGCAGTTGCAATCATCTCTCGATACGCCGAATATAACTTGAAATTTCACGCATTATGTATTTCGAATTTGGTCTTAAATATGGAAAAAACTTTGTCGAGACAAAATCCCTTTTCAACTAACCTCAAGATAGAATTGACAAAATTCGGCATTGTTCCAATGATATTCATTATATTCTCGTTCCAGGATATTCTTGATTAATTGCAACGTTTCCTTATATTTCAGTAGTTTTTCTAAAATTCATGGAAATATATTAAAAGAATTTAAAAGCTGAGTTTTACTCGGAGATTTCGGGAAAACTGATCGGTTTTCTTGAAGGTTTTTCAATGTTTTTTCCAGAAATATCGATCTTAATGAATTTAAAAGTTATGGAAATTATTTTTACTATATTTCTCATATAGGTGAGGATTTAAAATGCTTTTAAAAATTATAAATGCAGTCGTTATAACAATTATTAAGGATAAATTCTGCAGCGGTTGCGTTGAGATGAAATTCCAAAGTACGCTTGAAACTGGCTCAATCAATTTCGCTATCGCCATGCCTGAAATAATCACGATTAGCCGTTCAAAAAGCCATGAAAATAGATGCTTTAAGAAAGGAAGCTCGTAGAGACTGTAATTCGTCCATTTTTCAATTAATGACCAATTGATTTCGCATTTGATGAAAAGTCTTGAATGAAAATTCGAGTTTCCTTAATTAATTTAATAGTATGATCTATTAGTTTTTATTCTATTAGTTTTCGTTTTGACGAACAATTCGTTTATCTAACGTGTTAACATTACTACAACTTAACTGATCTTCTTTTTCTAACAATGCTCATGATTTCCGGTTTGGCTAAAGCTGGCGAGACCTATGCTTCTAGCTCGAAAAATTATTTCCCAAATATAACGACCGCTCCACAATCTCATTTTAAACTTAATAAAAAAATAATAGAAAATAATAGAAAAGAACCAAATATTTTAAAGTGTACTTTCAAATCATTCATGAGGATATCTTTGGTTATTATTTTTGGAATAATTAAGTTCGAAAAATGAAATTCAGGATCAAAATCGGATCTATCAATAAAAGCTGTCAATAATTGTTGTGGCTTTTAGACTGAATCGATCGATCATCAGTATCAGTATGGGAATGCAAAATTTTGGAAAAATCATTTGCCCAATAAATCATCAACAAGAAGATCTAGTTACCAAATATATTATTCCAATAGTTGCAATGCAACATTATATAGCTTCAGATTGACTTCGGAATTTTTAAATTTAGAATCCACAAAACTAATATGGAAACAATAAAGCTATCTTTGATTATCTTGGAGTGTGTTTACAATCAAAGTCAAGCAGTTGTGGATATCTTGCAGACAAAAAAGTTTTACAAAAATCTTTGGAAAATTAGAATATTTTCTCTGTCTCGAAGTCGTTGGGAATAAGCCAACTTTAATAATTTATTAATTTCGCAATCAAGCTTGATAAAATTTGAATAATAGTAATTAATTAATAATAATAATAATAATATTAATAGTAATTAATTAATAAGCAAATAGAAAAAAAGAAATGGCAAACAATTTACGATAAAAATGAAAAGACAACAAATGTCGTGAAATGCGATATTTTCTATTATTTCAAATTTATTATTTCAAACTGGTGACCCTGACCCACAAATGAAGCTTTATTAATTCTTTGCCTTTACATATGTTATTAATCCATTGAATGACTTTCCAAATTGCTTTGGCTTTCATCAAGGAATCCTATTGAACAGGATTTGGAGATACAGATATCCAGCTGAAACCATCTGATAATCATAAGAAGCAAATTATGAAAATAAAGTGATGGATGAACGAAAATAGTTTATAATGAATCTAGATAATTATTTTTCTCAAATTCAAATTCTCTTATATCCTTCATATGTGGCTCCAACTGATAAAAGAATGGTCATCATTGCACAGCTAAATGAAAAAAACGATAATTGCGGCATCAGAATTTGAATTATATCATTGAAACTATGGCCTTCTTTTGCATGCACCAAATACAATTAAATCTGCAATTAAATCCACTTTAAATTTTATCTTTGGCTTTTTTGCGTGCTATTATGAATATTAAAGAAAAGAAATTTATTTTTATTGATGAATTTCGTATTTTATTTTCTTCTTTTATTTCAGGATCGTATTCGTTCTCTTAGCAATGCTTAATTTTTTAATTTCTGTACCTTTACGGGATGAGATTTTATACCTGTCATTTGGAAATGGGAAGAGCGGATGGTCGGACTTCGCTTTTAAGTACAGGTTTATTCCTATGGAGAGATAGGATTTGAATCTATATTTCATTTTTCCGAATTTAGCTGCTTTAATTACAAGTTTTGAAAGGAACATAAAATGCAAAAAAATGAGAAATCAGTGGGTCTTAAGGTAATCCATTTCATTATATTTCAAAAAATTAAAAGAAAAGCAAAAACTTTCAATATTAATTGAATATTAATATAGAAAATGCCAAAGAAAATGGAATTCTAGCAGTCCAATTATCAAATTCAACTGATAGGCCAACAATATTTATGTATGCTTCGCTGGTATGAGGGAAGTTTATTAAGGTGTTCGGCTTTTTTTCACCAAAGAATCAAATGTTCATAATATCATAATCATCCGATCGAGTCAATGTTCTACTCTCAAATGCAGATGAATCAGTGATGCACCACTTGAACATCAAATCATTTTGTTTAGTTTTCGACAAAATTTTATTTGAAGAAAAGTTAACATATTAATTTGCTATGAAAAGGCTATGAAAATCAAAAAAACTGAATCGAATATACAAAAGAATTCTGTCCTTAAAGCTTCTAAAAGAATAAATTTGGCCTCGGTTGGATGGTGAAATGAAAAAAAATAATTTCGCTGCCCACGACGTCCCAGTGTTTGAAAAATTTGGAAGCACCTCGATGGCCGCCATGTTGAATAAATGGTGGCTTTCCCCAATTATCAAATCCACTTGCAACAAACAACTAAAACGACTAAAAGCTTTTGAGAAATAATCGAAATAATCTGTGATATTTAACTGTTAAAACTATTTTGAGATTTTCTAATTTCATATTTTTTTCCATATATTATGCCGAAATTTCGTATAACTAAATTAACAAACTCGTTGTTCCAGCATTTTACAATATAGTATCTCGTTCTTCCGTAATTTTCGAACTAGAATAATGGAAGAACATTGAAATCTGTTGAAGATGGAGTTATGTTCACTGGAGACTGCTTCAAGCCTACTTTATAAGATCCTTCCCATCATCAGCCTAACCGTATGATGGTATTTTTATAAGTATTTAAATGTTAAAAATATTGGTGTTGAAGGCAGCAATTTTTTCTCAAATCATTTGATATTAAAGGGCAATTTTGTTATGCATAAAATTTTCCTTTTTTCCTAAAAGAATTTGCTCTTTTAGGAAAGATTTTACGAAAATCTTGATTACATCTGTATGAACGAAATTCTCTGTAACGTGCCAAAAACAAGCATTAAAGACAAGACAAGAGGCATTAAAAACAAAAAATGCATCTTATTGCAATCCAGTTGCATTTTTCCTTTTGCTTTACTTACAATAATCTGCAAAAAAATAATAATTTTTTAATATTGCTCTATATTCTTCGCTAGAATCAGATGTGAATCAACATTACCATGAGAATTTGTAAATGGTAAATTTATTTATTCATGTCAGCCAAATCTCTCTGCCTTTTTATCAAAATATTTTTTCTTAATGGTAAATAACTGTAAAAATATTGGATATTAAAAAAATTCGGATGTTTTTTATCGGCTATTTTGAAAATTAGCATTTTTGATCAAAATCGCATCATTAGGCTGAATATATTTCTGCCAATTATTTATCAATTATGGGATAAATGTCCCATTTGAGTAAAAATCTGAGCTTCTAAAACCAATGAATTGCTGGAAGAAGTTTTCTCATCACGCTTTCGCCCAAATGAAATTGCCGATAGAAGAATGAAATGGAAATATGTTGTAGAGAGATCTGGGAAATATAGTAAATAAGGGAATCATTATTCAACTTGTTTTTGCGGATTTTTGCAAAGTAATCTTTGCGATGCGCTGTATTTATATGGTTTATAATTTCTGATGAAATTTCTGGCTCATTGGTATAACCCAGTCGTCATGTTTATCATATTTTAAGAAATTATAATAGGTCAACCCAGTAGCAAACCACTAAGCAGAATCTTCTTCGGATGGAAAGTTTGGCATAGTATCGAAGAAATTCATCTTTCTTCGACCACTGTGCTGATCTTTTCCTATCTCAGTAAATACCTTCAGTCATAAATAAATAAAAAATAAAAATAAATAATAAAAATTTGTCCAAGAAAAAAACCATTTTTTTGAACGCTGTTAGCAATAAACGGCACACTCTTAAAAGTATCTTCTGTACTAACATTAGCGGTAAATTTGGACAAGTTCTACTGGGATCAGTCTACATTTATAAAACTTAAGATTCTAGAGGATTTTCATATTTCGTGGCCTGAAAATTATTTTTATACTGCTCCTTCCTTAGAACTCAAAGCTTGCAGAGTTCATAAATAGCACGATCTGTCGTAGTTGAATACCACCAGCGATTTGACTGTTGTGTTAAGTCGAATCGAATTGAGTGGTGTTAGGTTGGGATAAGTTGTGAACCAAACGAGATAACCAAATTTTACTCCGTAAAAGACACAACCAAGATACACCAATTTTTATTCCGTAAAAACACAACAGTGATTTAACAAGGTTCATATCTCATTGATAGTGGGAGTGGTTTATATCAAAAATTCCAAGCATTGTAACTAAGATCCGATTAGCGTGTGAATTGGAAAGGCATTTCCTGTATAACAGGAAAATAAAGATATGAGCTTTAGATAGAAACAAAAAAAACATGGGAATTTGACGGGAAATAATCTAAGGAATGCAAAATGGTTCATGACAAAAAACATTTATTTGATTATTTATTACTTTATTTGTTTGGGACTTAGTGGGAATTTCGCTATATCAGAATTCGCGGCAGGCGCGGCTCGAAAAGTGTTAAGTGATTTTTGATCACCCAGTTACCAAAAGCAATAAAAATTATCCAGTGGTTCTGCATAGAATGGCTGAGTGGGTTGTTGCTCGATTGCCCGATGCTGAGGTTCGATTTCCCGCAGGAATAAACCTGCACAAAAATACGGGTGGTGCTGGCGACTCACCTGTATTTCAATCGCCAAGGAACTCCATGGCATATTGTTCAATGTGACAAGCCAGTGGAACGAGTTTAACCAGCAATGGTGAGTAAAAAGTGATCCTGCATTGGAAAAAATAAAGCAAAGAGCAAAAAAGCAGTTTTGAAGCAAGTGAAGGAAATAATTTTATTTATAATTACTGTTATTATTACTATTATTATTATTAAAAACCAATATGAAAAAAACAGAGAGATTTGGGAAAATTTTGCTAATGCATTTATTATATAAAAATAAAATTTTATTCATTTTAATGATTCAAAATTAACTAAGATAGAAGAAAATAAAATTTGATTGGTTTATGTTGATTATTAGAAAGCAAAAAGTAATTTCGCATTAATGATTGGATTTAATGACTCCACATTTAAATTAATCACAAATTTTACTTAAATAATTCCCTTACTCTCGTTTCGTAATTTATCGCATTTTATAATTGCAAAAGCATTCTAATACACTCCTTGCGAAATGCGCGATTGCTGCAAAATTTTATTAAAAATCTTTTACAAATTGATCGGAGAACAATGCATTTCTAATTCAAGGATAAATGCAGATTTACAATTTCTGTGTTTGGCGATTTCGGACGATAAGCGAAAATGTGAGCGTTTGAGGGTTCAGCCTTAGTTATTGCACTGTTTGCAATCGTAAAATAACAGTTAATTAAGTATTTGCTTACTGATTTTAATGCCCTTTCTAACAGTCCTTTCTTTAAAAGATTGTTAAATTAAATTTGCAGCAAAATTATCCTTTTAGCTTTCGCTTATCATTAATGAATTAATATCTTTTTTTTTTTATTATGGCATTTACTGTTGCAAAAATGTTGTAGTTTTTTGCAACTTCGCTAATCGACATCATCAGTCATCAGCAAATTTTTAATCCACAATATCGTATTGTTTAAGACAATTTCAATCCAAAATTTAGCATTTTTTGGCTTTAACATTGTATTGTCTTCATGCTTTATACTATTATTATTTATAATTATTGTTATTGTTATTATTAATTGTTATTTATTCTTTGTAATAATAACTAAGCTCTGTTTTATTATTTTCTTCGACAAAACATATTTTATTTTCAATCTTTTCATCTTTTTTATATATTGCTTGGATTTACTTAAAACTTTTCTCTTTTTTCATTTAAAAATTAAGTGCATATAAAAATATCGCACAAATTTAAACCACTTAAATTTTTGCAAATAGGAAAAATTAAATATTTAATGCTGACATAATCTCAAATTGGCTTAGCAAATATATATATATGTATATGCATAAATATGCATGCTAAAATTAAATATAGCGTGCATGGCATAACTAATTTAGTTATTTATAATAATGTTACTAATAATCATTTGTATAATTATATGTTTATAAATTTCGACGCATACATAGGAAAAGAAAAAAACTGAGCAAAAAATACGAAAAAGAGCCATAGTATTAATTATTATTCCAAAAACACGAGTAAACATGGATTCGTTAAAGATTGATTTATGCGATTCAGCCTAAAGCAAAGATCGGCTGATAGTCCAGAAAATTTACTTTAAATGATCAACTACTTTTCAAAGCAAAGTTTCAAAATCGATCGAAACTTTACACCACTAAAAAAATTCAGTCATTTTAGAAAATGGTGATATATAATTCAATCACGAAATTTCTAAAAACTGAGCACACTTTAATGTTTCACAAAAAAAGGTAATCCTTAACTGATTTTAAGATGATCCTTAAGATGGAACTGGAAAAGAATTCAGCGATTAACTCGAGAAAAAAGCATATTCCACGACAATTCTGATAATCGCTCTCTTCGCCTTACCTCTCTTTCCTCTATTTTATTCTAATATAAATAACATTTCCTTAAAGGTGATCGTAAAAATAATTAGATACAATATCGAGTTGTAAACAAATTTGTATGCACCATTATCCTTTTTACATTCTGCGGTTTTAAAAGGTCTGAGCTGAATTCGTCGTCCATTTAATGCTTTAACTGGCCGAAAGTTGGATTGAATATTACGTTTTAGCGATTTTAAACTGCGTATATCATCCATCTGAAAAATGGCAGAATTTCCTCCTTCACATATCCGCTCTTCGGGTTAGTTACTCCTCTCGCCTTATAGGTAAGATTCTTCACCACAGACCTCTTGGAAAGAGAAGGCCAAGTGATCGCCCTTTTTCAGTTTTCTCTCATTGGCATATTTAACTCTTTTCAATGAAAACCCATTAAAAAACCCATTAGAGAATTTTTGCGCTTACTTATCATAGAAGGCGAGTTGAAAAAATATGAGGAAAATTGGCAGTGCTGAGAAAGGATTTAATGCGATTTTTCGTAAATTCGAAAAGAATATAGCTCGGATTGTCATAATTATTAGAGCGATTTTGAAGAGGAATTTGAAAACGATATTAATGAATGATAGATACCAATGGAAAATTTTCTAAAAATTCTACTCGTTGCATGGACCATTTGATTTTAGAAAGAATTTCAGACCTGTGAAGCACTTATTGTTATAGGGTCAGCCATAATAGTCCAAATAACGGCTTCAGAGCAAGGTGGTGTAGTAAGCGAGCCATCATATCGATAAAAAGTTTCTAGATCACGAGGCAAAAAATGTATCAATCGAAAGTTTGGTACTTCTAGTTCCGATTCTAAACAATACCTATGGAACAACGAAACGAACAAAAAATTATTTTATTTATTTAATTAAATTGGTAAGTTGTTCGACTGAATGGTTCAAGAAGCTGTATATTGACATTTAAAATTGTCGAAAATTAAAGAGTGCGTTTAAATTTGTGACTTAACAAAGTAGCAGAAAAATGCTGATTATTGCTTTTTTTCTTATTTTTATTATGGTCACTTTTTGGGACTAAGTAAATTATCATTAAAATGCTCGGATAGGAATCTACGAATTAAAAAAATTTCCATGACTCCCTGACAAAATTGTTTCATCCTATTAAGAGAGGAATGAAATGGTGAATGGAGTTATATTTCTGATATAAGCCACTCACTCATTGTTTGATTTAATTCGGCTTTAAATGTTTTATATTGATGTTATATTTTATGCAATGCATAAAGCTACTGTCTGTCTTGCTTTATTCTTCTAAATAAATAAATAAATTTTTTATAATTTTTTCTTTTTATTTTACATATCATTACATTTTTTATTTTAGAACATTCACCATTACTGGCTACAATCGCTCCGCAGGCTTGTCGGACAAATATGCCAGGGAGTCAGTTAACATTAGAAGTACGGGTGGGTCGCCAACAGATATTATTAAATAGCATAAAATAATATTTTTTATATTACTAATATAAAAATTAACCTGGTTCAGTTATATTTCTGATATAAGCCTCCAAAGGCTGGAAATTGTTCTCGTCTATCCCAAGTTTAACGAAAATTGCTACTACAGCAATAGAGTCATTCTCCAGAAACGGTTCACTCAAGTTTTTGCCCCCTTTGATATGAACGAAATGCATCTGAGATTGTCCCATTTTACAAATAATATTAATAAATATTTATAATAAAAGCATAAAACATTAAACATTAAAAATACTTATTTTTCAGAATCATTTCGGGAAACATTTCGAATGAAATCGAAATTAAAATTTGCTTCAAATTCGAATCAAATATCAAGTTCTTTCTCTTCAAAATTTCTAGTTGATTTTGTCGAGAACTACTCTTATAAATCTCTAAAATAGTATAACAATACCTCAGCAGGATAATGAAGAGATGCAATGGTATGTTCACTACCAGTATAATTGGTTTGTCCCCAGTGTAGATGAAACTGATGAAGAAAATATTTACCGTTTAAATCGCCGCCATAAATATAGGGCTGATTTTGATTCCATTGTTCAAATCCTTTCCCAATTACTAAAAATATAATTTTATCGAAGATAAAGTCAAGACGTTTACTGTGGCTTTTTATTGCTTATGTCGCTTACTGTGGTTTTTTATTGTTCAAAGCCTCATTAATTTTATGCTATTTTCTTAATATAAAAGCTGGCTTCAATAGTTTCGTCTTATCAGTAATTGATCCTAATATCACTTTTTTTTTTTTAAGAGCGCTCACCATTTCTGGTTAGACTAGTTCTGCTGCCTTATCGCATCCGACAAAGCCTTGTCACTTGGCTATAAAAATAAAACGTTGGGTGGACTAAATTTTAATGAAAGACAGATTAACTCCTCCAAACGAGACCAATAATTCTATCACAGTAAATTATTGTTAGCCACTCCTTAGCAAACACTTGATCGCCAATTTTTCAGCTCAAAGGGATTTATTGTTCATCTACATCACCTATTGCTTATGAAATGATGAACAAACATGTTAATCCATTATTTTCCACATGGAGTTCTCCTGCATGAGCGTAATGCACAAAATGGATTCGTGGAAGATTTTCTACAACAATTGCAGATGATGATATATCAATTGGCGATTGTCGCGCACCAGTGTTACATACACCTGGCCATTTGTGAGGGCCATCGTCTTCTTCGTAACCGAAATTTATGTCATATGATGCTGTAAACAGTTGAACATAAAAGCCTTTATTAATAGCCAAGTATATGGTAATTGCTTCGAAGCAAAAAAATTTAAAGGAAAAGTTACCGAAAACGCTCATCAAAAAGTGAAATAGGAAAAAATTCATCGTATTCAACGGACGCATCTCGAGGAGATTATTAATAACTGCAGGCTCTCTGCTTAGTTCCAAAAACGCATCGAATGGAAGTTCAAAAATTCGGTGTACGATTCAAAATGATAAAAGCGAATTTTTCGAGAAAAAGTCTTAAAATGATGGGATTAATGGACTTTAAAATGCCAATAAAGCATAACTCGATGAACAAGAAATTCTAGTGTGAGACACGACTATGCTCTGTCGTATAAAAGGTTAGAGGTTATAGCCAAAGATTATGAGCTATTGGACTCACTATTGGTAGAAGGCTGATAGTTATTCGAATGATTGCTTCACATTGACGAAAGCCATTTTGGCAATATTATCGCAAATGCTGAACTAGTTCGACATTTTTAGTTAATGAATAAAACACTAATAATTCCGATATTTATCTTCACATCAGTTGATTTGTTGAATTTTCATATAACTTTTAATTTAAATCAATCTTCGCTGATGCACGTCGCTGTATAGGCTTTTAAGTTATATAAGGATGTAGTTTTTTAAATAAATTTAGAATAATTTTACAAAATTTGATTAATGTTCTAAACATTCGTCAGCATTTCATTTATATTTGCTAAAAAAAGGCCTCAAAACGAAAAAACCTATTACCCTATCAATCCAATATCATTACCAGCTGTCGAATTTTATCATCCACAACTATTTAATTAACCAAATCATCACAACTGTAGTTGAAGATAATTTCATCAAATCATCAGAATGATAGAACGGTCGTTTAAATTCGATTCTTGCCTCTTGACGAAAAAAAGCCTACTATTAAAAATCCAGATGCCAGTCAGGGACACCTGGAAGGACGCACCTATATTTTTATCCACGGTTAACTTCCTCTGGCGAAAACATCTTATCTAATAGTTTGCAATAACAAAGGCAACCAGCCCAATCATAAAGGGTGAGAATTATCAGAAGAGCAATAATAAACATTTGGCACGAATGGGTCAACCATAAAAAACCTTTTTTAACAAGTACGATATAACTTAGAATTATTTTTCACATTTAGAAATATCATAGAGAGTTGTCTATATAGAATCAAAAATGAATGATTTTTTCAGAAATATTTGTTGGTCTCGCTTCGTCATCAAGACAAAAGATAGGTTTGTATCAATTTTAGCAAAAAAATTAAAAATCATATCGAAAAATTTGTTTCCTTCATAAATTTATTTTCTCGTACCATATTTATCTTACAAAAATTTATTTTTTCCTTATTCAAAAAACGAACATTCTGGCAGTGGGATTTATTCTTAAATCGGGGCCAGAACTAACGAGCTACAATAGCAAACTACGATAACATTTTTATTTTCCCCACTTTTCGCTTAAATTCATTATAAACCATTATTGTAACTTGTCCTAAACTTACCATGATCAGGGCGACTTTAACGCAAAAAATTTTTACCCGATGCATTGCAAATAGACGATAGTAGCAAATCTCGCTCATATTCATCATAAACTGAATTTAAACAAGTAAATAATAGCAAAAATCATTGGTTTAATTTTTTGATGCACCAAAATTCCAATATCTTAAAAAAATTTTCAAAGGATTTCTTAAACCAATAAATTTTTTGCATTTGAAAAATCGGATGACTTATTTACTTTTAAAAACAAATTGCAAAGCAAAACTCTTGGATCGTTAACAGATTAAATTTAAGATTTCTAAATAATTTAATACTAAATCTAATTAAATCTAAGAATGGATTATATTAAAAAATGCAAACTTATTTTGGATTAGACTGCAAAGTGGAAGATTGCATTATCTGCAAGCAAAACCCATCTTCGATCCAAATTCGAACTTTTCTTGAATTGTGTTTGATTTGCAAGATCCAAAATTCTCTCAAAACGCGAAGATCCAAAAGACACCGCAAAGCGCAACTTGAAGCCTTGAATCACGAGGTTTAAAATTATCTTGGACTATACTGCAAGAAGCAACCTTATTTCCTCCCAATTCACAATTCGCCCTGTTTGACTTGGAAATTGTCTTTTGTCTTGGATGCGGAGTATCCTGTGTTCTTAGTTGCATATAATAAGACATGCCATGATTTTAAAAATCAACTTTTTATTTATCACCTTGATCATCAATAACTAAATACGATGCATGCCGGCAATACGCTAGACCGAAGAAATGAATCACCAATTTGGAATATGAAATGTTAATTTTCGTTAAATTTTAAAAATTTAAATCATTTTTTGAAGGAAAAACATATGAAATAGAAAAACTCAGAAACTCAGAAAAACGGAAAAATTTCAAAAATAAACCCCTCTAAATGACTTCCTGGCAAAAATTTATTAACAGCGAGTGGAACGAGTCAGAAATTATTAACCACTTATTTTTATTGCATTTATTAATAAATCTCTTGAAATTGAGATTTAAAATTAATTGCAAAAAATAACAAAAACTGGAATGGAAAAAAACCCCGATGATTTACGAAACAAAATATAAATGAAGGTCAATTTTCCGAAGTCGACAGTAGAAGTCAAATTTTTCAAAAAAAAATGAATGCTCATAAAGCTCATCAACAAATCAGTACATCAAGCGGTGACCGAGGAAATTTCTCTCGAGATATTTCAAGTAGGTCATATAAAATAAAATTGGGAAAAAACTAGTCATGACATATATGCCAGTCACCCCGTCATCTGCTTTTTTAACCGTTGTTGTTTATGCTATCTCCACTGATTACTACTAGGTTACGCCATCATCTTATGAACCGAGTCAATTATACAACGAAAGATAAAAACCATCTTGCTAACATCATCCATATGGATCTCAATAACAGCAGGACGATGGAAACTTTACCAAGAACTTTATTAGAAGCTTCTGTATCAACTACATCAGACTTTCTTCGATGTTAATGCCTTTTTGAATGATAAACTCCTTATTCCAATAAATTTTGAAGCTACTTCGTACAACAAAAATTTTTAAAATATTCAGTTCGAAGTTCATTTTAATCAACTGTCAGTAAGATTCACTTCACCAGATAGTCACTTGGAGTGGGTCAACTAATATATATTTCAAATGTATACTGCTAAAAAATTAAATTTAAACTAAAATATTGGAATAAATTTCACAAATTAAATCCATAAATTTATAAAACCATAAATTTTAGATAAATGTACGTATTTTTGGAAATTTTATTAAACTCTTATTTTTAAAATCTGTTTTGTTAAATTATTACTTCTATAAAATTCTATAAAATTTCACCGAATTCGATATATCCGACTTCTTTTCCCTTTCTTCATCAAACAACTCGCACTATTACTAGTTAGGCTGGCTATAAGGCTGAGGCTCTCCAAAGCGTCCGATCTGATGCCATACCTGAGATTAAAGAAGTCACTCCTTTTTCCGCAGCTTAAGTCCATATAACTCTGGACTGTTCATATATCCAAAATTTTCTATGGTTCTAAAGAAATCTCTAATTCGATTTCTTTTATGCAAATATCATCTCGCTTTCCAATGAACATTTATTTCATTTTATTGATAAATTGATAAACGAAAAATGTACAAAAAAGAAAAACTTGTTTCTAAGAATGATATCTTAATTACCAAAAAAAATTAGGTAAATAAATAAAGTTCTTGAAATTACTTCTGAAAAAAATTTTACCCAATTACTATTTATTCTGATCCACCATTATTTTGCTAAGAGCACTCATTGCTGGTTCGTTCTGGAAACTCATTCCGCTGGACCAGACAAATTTTGCCCTACTTGGCAATAGAAATGGAAATGGGTCGCCAGCATCACCCAGATTTTTAAAAGATAAGTTTACTCCTGCCGGGAAACTCACCGCAAATTGAGCAATGAACCATACTACCCCCTATGTTTTCGCCATTCGACGACATAATAATAGCCATAATAGATCGGCCAGATTCGAACGCAAATTATTCGTGATCCTTGGTGGCAATCGTCTCTACCGATGCACCATCTCTTGCAACTAAGCCATCGGGTAATTCATTAGAACAGATTTCCAATTTTTAAAAAATCCTAAGGCATTGAAATTGGTTCCATTTCCTCTCTCTGACCCTCACTAAAATTAAATTAATTCATATGGAACCTATTCGCTCGGCTGAACTTCCAATGTAACTGAAAATACCAATTTTTGGTAAGTTTTATACAAACAGCAAGGAAATAATCATTAAATATCGATTGTATCATCGATTGCATCGATCATTTGAAGATATCTTGCAAAGTCCATATTTTCTTGTCATTCACGAAAAGTAAAAGTAAGGGGATGTTGAGGACTGACCGCGTGGTTCTTCGGCGGGGTTTTCATCGTATATCCGGTGGGTGCGCTAAAATAGGAAATGCAGCCAAGTAGAAAATCTAAATTTATGATTATATCCCAACTGAATGCAATCAAAATTTAGAATTTCTTTGGGAGCTTATTTCAGAAATTAAAACAAGAAACTAAGCAAAGGATGAGTGCGAGAAATGCCGAAAAATATGGATGAAGAAAAAAACTGGGAATAGAAACGCACAAGGATGGACTAAGAAGCGAGAAGCATCTGAGCTGCAAGCAAGAATTTTTGTTCGCTAAGATAGATTGAAACGTCAGCTGATGCTTTTGCCAAAAACTATATTTCGTGCATTTTTCCCACAAAATTCAAATTAGCCAGAAAAAAAGTGCCGAAGCCTACATAGAATTAATACAATTAATAAAAATTGCTAAAAAATCATAAAAATTATTTAATAAAAAGTGAGAATTTAGGAAACAAAAAAAATGAACGCAGAATATTTGCATATGAAATAAGAGAAAAAATTAAGAATGAGAAAATGGAGAAATGGAGTTTTTTGCTTGGTGGAGCTTTAACAAAGTGTCGTGGACGAGGATGGAAAATGTGGACAAACTTTGGCAAAGCAGTGAGGATTTCAGGCTTCAAGCAAGTAGAACTGACTACTTCGAACTCGTCAGAAATGCGGCGAATGCATTATTTATGGAAAAAATGATACGCTAACGGAATTGAGTTGAATGGCAGTTGATAACCGAATTCACGAGATCACGAAAAATTATCGCAATGGCTTTATTTCATTTGGTTAAATCCCAATGGAGTTCAGCGAAGATTGGCAATTATTTATCGGAAATTTTAATTCGTTCGCTCGAAATTACACGCATTTCAACGATGCTTTTTAAGAAATTGAAACGAAAATTTCAATTTTTCCGATGAATTTTATTTCATCTTTTAAAAAAATAAAAGTTAATAATGGATTTCTCGAGGAAAACCATTCGAATAAATGGAAATATTGGCTTTTCCGCATAAATTTTAAGTCGAAACAAGGTTAAAAATAATGAAATCAACGAAATGTATGCGAGGAAAATCGCTTAAGTCCTGTAGATTTCCTCTTTAAACCTATTCTTCGGCTGCATCGCATTCCTCTTTTTTTTCTGTAGCATTCGCTACTTCTGATTTGGCTTCGACTCGCTCCACAGCTACTTGTACAAAATGTTTTCGTCAGAGAAGCATTTGGGAAATAGGAGTTCCCCTGACTTCCCAAAATTCGCACGTTTCAATGACGGGGTTTGCTCACGTCAAAAGGCAGAGTCTGCGATGCTTCAGTTGATAATTCGCACCACTCGGCTCTGCTGCCTTCTTTTAATTTGAATTTGAATCTTAAATAATTTTGCCATCAGAATTGAATCTCATAATTCTTATTTAAGTAATAAAGGTTAGCTGCAGAAAAGGTCCCTTAAGTCAATCGCAGTCTTTTTATTTTTATTTATTATCGCAAATATTATCTGAACGTTAACGACTTTGAAAAAAATGATTCTTATTTGATGAAGGTTGAGATTCATTTAGAAATCCATGTGACACACGCGAAGTCATTGTCCAAAATAAATTGATGGCGTTTCAGGAATTAAGAAAACATCGATGTAATGAAAATATGTGTAGAATGTTAAATGGGATGCTCAGTAGGCTGTTGCACTCATTTCGGAACACCGATGCTGGGTTTTACTACTGGCAAGAGCACATGTCTTAAAAGCGCTGCTGGCTATTCACCTGCACTTCCATCTTTTGCGAGATTTGTATAGTTCGATAAACCAGTTTAGGAAGCCGACCAGGAGTGGTGAAATGGTAAAAATCGAATAGAAAATTCCCACACCATTTTTGGCTAATTCAACTGAACACCACGACCTTTTCGCCAGAGAATCACTTGAGGACAAAATGACAGATGGCAGTACTATATCCATATTTCATTTTTATCATATGTTTACTCCCATCATAACTCGAGCTCTTTTATCAAAATCCTTAGCCCGAGCAGCACAACCCAATTCCACTCTCATCTTTCGCTTTCTTTCCACGTCCACAAATTAAAGGTCATTTGATAAAAATTCCAATGGATTTTTTCAAATACTTTATTTTGGAAAAATGGTGAAATGATTAGTGCCTTAAAAATTTTCGGCACAGAACCGCTAATTCGACTCAAAGCAATTGAATCTTTATAAGTTTTCGATTTTAAATGTTTTGCGATATTTTTTGCTATCATATTTCTCACAAGAAAATCATTTCAAAAAATTTACTAAGCCAATTAAAAAGGAATTTATAGTATTGAAGAAATTTAAATTCGAAAAAAATTTATCAACCGGCATCATTTGCCCGATTTGCTACTATCCTATATAATAGATAAAATTGCGATTAAGTACAATTATGTTGTAAATATAATTTTCAGTGCTGACATCGAAAAATGTAATATTTATATATTTCGACAATGATTGTCAAATAGACTAAATTAATCTTTTAAGCTTCACGCAACTTTTATGGGATTCATGATAAATATTTTGTATTGCATGATGTCGATTAAAAAGAAATTTATTTCGAAATTTATGAACCAATAGTGATAGACACTAATGCAAATCAAAATTTTGAAGATTTTGAAGATTTCAAACCTAAAAAATTAAAGAAACAAAGAAACAAAGAAACTTAAAAAAGCTGAAAAAAACAATGAAATAAATTAATTATAAGCATCGACAAAGCTTTAAAACTTATCCAATCAAAATTAATCCAAATTAATTAGATACACCATTCCATCAAACAAAAAAAAAGCTTTCAAAACCCTTAATACCAAAAGTGATTCCCACAAAGCCACAAATTTCTTCCTCTTCTTACTCTGACGGTACTTCCTATTCCTGGTTTGATCATTCATTTTCATGCAACCAACAGAATGAGAATCTTTCACTAGGGATAAGGATAATACAGATGGGCCACAGCAGCATTACGATTTCACTTTTAATAACAGGCTCACTCCTGTTAACACGATTCGAGCCTTCTTGACTTCAAATAAACCACTCGACTATCCTTACCTAAACCCACGTCCAACTGCGTTTCCTACTGTGATTTTTTCTAAGTGATTTCAGTGATTACAACTCTGTTTAAATGGAAAACAGAGGAAAAAACTGACAATGATAATTTCATTTTATTGAACAACGATTGATAATAAAATCCAAAAAGAATAAGAAAATTCTACGAACCAACATAAAAAAATCTCTTATCCGATTTTATATTTCAAGGATTGTCACCAATAACTCGAACTCGCGTTGTACAAGTTTTTTCCCTTTTTCCATTCACAACGACAATATGCTTGGAAAAGTTGGATAAATTTAGTTGGATTACAATAACAATAATTCATAAAAATGAGGAGAATATTCCTAAACCCGTGAAATGAAAAAGTGAAAACAAAAATTGTACCACATAAATATTCGGTAACTGAAATCGAAATATCCCAACCATAAAAATATTCCATATTTAGTCGATTTCATATTCAACCACTTCGTCTTCCCAACCATTCAGCTAGAATAATCATCAAATTAATATAGAAAATATATAAATTAATAAAAAAATAGATTTAAATAGATTTAGATAAAAAATTAGATGCTCATTTCATTTGCCCATTTGAGAAACAAATGGTTGATAAGACCTTTGCTTTAAAAGAAAAAATACATTGCAAAATAATTCTATTTAACCAACACTGCTTGCATTATTATCATGCACAGTTTGGGAGGGAATGAAAAGTTTCGAAAACATCGACCATTTCGCTTCTTCATTCTTTTTCTGCTGACTTTCCTGTTCAACTGGAACTGATGGCCGCTTTTTTAAAACTGGCACCATATCTACGAAATAGTCAGGTTCTGCTTCTTCACTATTCTTCAAAATTTGCTTATCGATTTCAGGTATTCCATAAGTAACTGCTAAAAAACCCACCTTATGGCCCAACAAAATTATAATTTTATAGCTTATAATTTTAAACGATATTTCAATTTCTTTCTCATTCCCAACTGTAGCCACAAATTAATTTCATTTTTAACGAAAATTGAAGTCCATTTTTTATGATTTTAATAATATTAAAAATATAAAACATTTAATAATTCCTAAGTTCTAAAAAGCAAGATTCAAATCGAAAAACATTATTTAAAAATTATATGTCAGTAAATGGAAAACATTACGAAATGTTTTATTCCTCTTGTTTGATTCTTTTTGCTGTAGAGGGGTTTGAACGGAAGTACTGGCTGCAATGCTGTGTGTTTCTAAATTTAATTTTGATTCAGCTAGATCCAATTTATCTTCCCAATCTAATGACCATTCTTCATCAAGTGAATTTTTCGTTGGATGAACATTCTGAAAAACTTTTATTCTTTGCAAATTTCAAAGGAAGAAATTTATTGCCTTTTTCAAAACGCGGAAAAAAAATTAATTATTTATATTATTATTTATGTTATTTAAATATTAATTATTTATATTTATAGATATTTTAATATTTAAAACTGTATTAACCATGAACGATGGTTCGTTAGAATTAACAGTTGGTGTCAGCAATTGTAACTTTATATTTGGTTCGTCAACAAGATCATCAGTCAACAACTGGGACAGAGGTGAAATAGGTGAGGCTAGAATGTTTTTCGAAATTTTCTTTGGCATTGATAGAACTTGATCTATTTTCGGCAAATGGAGATCAATATTTTTGGGAATTCCATCGGCAAAAACTTTCGAATGAACCAAACCAGTAACTTGTGGACCTCCAATAAGTGGAACGAGACAAGTTAGTGCATGCATTGAGGCTCTAACGATTCGATCATCAGCGTCTTGCATTCCCAACTTTAATTCTTTTAAAACAATACCATTCAACTGAACTGAATTGAAGTGGTACATATATATGTGAAAATGTGCAAGAAGTGCAAGACGAATGGAAGTTTCATGTACATGAAACATTTTTAATATTTCAGGGATAACTGTGACTTTATAAAAATGTTCCGGTAACAGTCCTTTCAGTTCCAAATCATTATCACTGCAAGGTTCCAAGATGAATGGCAGTAAGCCTTTATGTGCGCCATCCTCAAGGATTACATAACGTGAAAGTATAAGTGGAACTAATCGTTTACCAATGACTTCATATGGCACCTTCCGAAGTTCATTGCAAATTGTCCTTAAAAAAGAAATTACAGATGAAATTAGATGATCATATTTATTTCTAGTGATAATATGGAAGTGGTAATTTTTTTAAAAATCCACTGGAAAATCGAAGAAATTCAATTATATTGATTTTTTAAAGAAATAGGATTCTAGAAGATTTTCACATCTTTAGGAATTTTTCTACAGAGATTAACTGTATTTTAAAAATGTATGGAAAAATGAATGAATGTATGAAAATGCATGAAAATTTTGACGAAATTTTGACCAAAATCTTAACCAAGAGTAAAGTAAAGTCCAGAAAGAAATTTAAAATTTTTTTAAATTCTAAATTTAAAAATTTAAACATTTAATTCAAAAATAATATACTAATACATGAAAAAGTCCATGTGGAATTCTCCGGATAACTCTCGATTGATTATACCTTAGACAATCTGTTGGAAAAGTTCTATATTATATGGTCATTCCTACTGGTGGGTTGAAACTGATAATCATTGGGGACCAGACCATCATATGGTTCGAGTCAAGATTCGCATAAAACTGACAACTCGTAACAATGTCTTTCCAAGATCTTTCAACTATCTCAAATTAAAACATTTAGGCGCAGTAAGCGAATTATTAAAGCTCGGTGAACACTTCAATAAAATGAACATCTCTAATATGGAAGGTGAATACTAGTCTTAAAGGCATGTCTCGAAAATCAGCCACTTCCAAACTGGGATATGTAAATAAAAATGCATTAGTTGGGAATCAAAAGAAACTGTCCAACTGTTCGAAAAGGTCATAAAGCAACTATAATTCAGGGAACGATTATTGAAACGATACGGAATAGTGATGGTGAATCTGTTAAATCTATTAAAGATCATTCATTTCATAAATCATTTCATATCATTTCATAAAGTGGAAAGAATTATTCCTTGAGACCTCCTCGAATTTAACCACAGTGCGCCATCTGTTGTTCATGAGTTGAATCGCTCGCCCAGTGATAAATTTGCAACTGTGAATCATCAGCAGAACATGAAATAATCTCATCCAGAAGTTCAAGGCAAATAAAATGATGTCTATCGTCCTTCAAATTATACTTTCAAGAAATGTACTTATCAGATAACTGGAAGCAATTCAGCTCCCAATTCTCATGGCAGAGTAAACTGTAACAATTATTAAGTAATTAGTCTACTACACTTCCGGAAAAATTTTTACTTTTTCCTAATGAACAGACTTATGACAGCACATTAAATAAAAACACCGTAACAAAGCTAAATTCAAACTGGGACGTGGTTGTGTTAATAAGGTGTTAAGAAGGGCGTTGGAACATCGTTTCAAAAATATCGGCAACCCACCATCATTTGTTTTATAAATTTTGCAACCACCTTTTTCGATTCATTTGAAAGAACAATGCTAAAGAATATTTTACCAACATTTATGTACATCGGCATAGATATTGACAAACTGACAGAGAGAAATATTGTCCGTCAAGGCTGCGCCTTTTTCCCTACAATAAATTGAGTGGACAATGGATTTCATTTGTCAGTTTTTAGAAAGTATCAGTCCAAAGCATAATATCACGAAACCTGAATAGAGGCAGTCTTTTCTGGTAAAAGTTATGATGAAATGTGGATAACGCTGAAAGCGTCGACAACTGCAATGAGAAACGGACATCACTTCACTGTAAATAAAACGAAAGACTTTTTGTCTTATATATAATAAGTTGATAAAATATCTATCTTTTTTATCAATCCACTTTCGGCTGAAGAAATGCCAGATTTTAAATATCTTGGATCCACTCTAACCCCATGGCCAAGCGAAAGAAATTACAATCCGGAAAATGCGTTGTTGCAGTTGACGAACCTTTATGAAATCGTCGTGAAATTACCATAAAAATGAAAGCCCATGTCATAACTGCATTCGCTTTATCTTTCTATATGGCTGCGAGACATAGCTATGGAGTATTTTCTTTTTTAAGAGTTCTCACCATTACTGGTTAAACTCGCTCCACTGGCTTGTTGCATTGGGCAATAATGCCAGGAATAATCCCTTGTCGATAGAAATACAGGTGACAGCATCACCTGGATTTTTGTGGTTTTGGCCGCTCATATTTTATGGCCAAGAGGACAAAATCTCACACAACCTTGTTAATCCCTGCGAAGGATGGCGTCAAAAGCAAAGTGGGCCAACCAAGATCTGGACTGAGGTCAGAAAAGATTTTGAACATCTAGGTGGACCAAAATATGGACTTAGACGATGGAAAAGGAATGGCTTATATTACTGTAGGTGATAGGGTTGCAACGAATAGCTTGGATACACCTTACTTGTACCTAACGAAGATAGCTTAAACAGCAATAGTGACAGTTAGTGAAAGAAGAAAACAAAAAAAAACAAACTGGAAAAATGCATCCTTCTGCTTGGATGACTTTAGATGTATTGTTTGCAGAAAATCGACCATGATAGAAAGTGTATTCATAAATGCTGTTGAATGAGAATGAAATAAACTTCCCAGTTCACCACGACGAATACTATCGTTCGAGGTCAATCGAGAAGCTACATCCTCCAGGGAAATAAGTGTTTCTTCTGATAAGATATAATTATAAATAAAAAATTATAGATATCACGAGAGAACAATATTACAACAAAATAATTTAGGTACCTAAAAAATAAATAAAAGCAAACCAATTAAATGCCCTTTTAAAAATGGCAGAACAAAGATAATTAACTTCCCGTAGGCGAAAGCATCACGCGCAGTCGGTGGAATATCAGCAGTAAGCATTAACTAAAATTTTCAAATACATCAATTACAATATTCAAAGTCAAATGTTTTCGATTATTGGAAAGAAATGGTTTAAACGTATAAATTTTTTTACAATGGTAAATGCAAAATTTGTGAATTCGACGCGATAATAATAATAATTCAAGCATTTACTACATATATATTACTAATACATTAAAAATCACTTGATCTTCAGGTGGAGCGAAGTCAGCAAATTTTACAGAACGCACAAAATCGCTTTGCACCCAATATCTATTACTACCGGTTTTCTGAGCACATTCAAAACCGCCTAATTTCCAACGACCATCCAGTGTTGTAAAAATAGAAGAAGGACAAATATTATTGTGACAAATTTTGGCCTAAAATATTTTTTAATTTAGATATATAGATTTTTTAATTTAGATAATTTAATTTAGATATTAGAAATTAAAATTTCTCCTCCAAGGAAAATTATGCGAAATTATACAATGATTTGAATATCGCTAACAAAATTTCAAATACCAGTAAAATTAAAGAGCATTTGAAGCAGGATTAAATTAAATTATTCCTGATTACTTTATCATGCAGAAAGACTACGGCATTTAAAATATCTGTAAGACCCGTATGGATTTCAATCGGAGTTTGTGTGTCAACTACGAGATCAAGCATTTGCACGCGTTCAGTTAGTAAAGCAGTTTCATTTACATCCATCTTACTGATAATATATTTTAGAATATAGGGATGTCGCAACTGCCGTAACATCTAAAATTTGTAAAATATTTGGATTATCAGCTCTCTTTTACGGAATCAAATCAATTCATAATAATTCTATACAATAAATGATTTTCCAAATCCTATGAAATTCTTCAAAACGATCTTTTTCACCTTTTGTCGAAAATTCAAAATAGAATGAAAGAATATCAACTAAAATAATTTAAAATAAAAATCATGAAATTACTAAACTTTATTCCATTTTCATAAAACGAACGAGTTTCAGACGTATCAGTTTCACTGAATTCTTTCATAAACAGAGTTCGTCTGTACTTCCGCGTTTGCATGCACGGATAAACATTGGACCATATTCGATGAATACCAGCGCATTCGGGAACCTCTTCGCCGATTTCAATTTCTTGCATAAATTTGCTTTCCGATCCACCCATCGGAAATGAAAATAACGATACGATAGTAAGATTAAACCAAAGTTATAATTTTACACGAAAGATAGGACATGCAGAATTTTAAAAATAAAAATTACTGCAACAGGTACAAATTCCCAATGTAAATGACTAAAATTGCAAAAAAAAAGATCGTACCAACATTTATTTTTCAAAAATTAAAAATGTAACTAATAAATCAACTAACAGTGAAATTCAGTAATAAAGATAATACATCTTTTATAGAAGCATTCGTTTCCTACAATTACTTTCGTGGTATTTCCTTTTTATATTCCTCCAAGAAGAAACTGAACCTCTGAATTTCTGAATGTCACAAGTAAAAACAATCGTGAAAATATATTTCACAGTCTATCAGAAAACCTCACCTACAACCAAAAACCGAATGAAATTACTGAATAACTATCACAAACCACCACCATCAATATCACAAACTTTAAAGTGAAACAAGCAAAAAGCACTGTCAAATCACAGCTGAAATATTTAAGAAATACAATAAAACCGAAAACATAAGCCACAATATAGAAAATGCTGTAGAATGAAACAATGCCCCTCTCGGGATCAAGAGTCCAAAAGAAAATTCTACCCACGCCTACTCTTACCTATATAAGAATATTACCAAAGGTTTATCAGGAGTGAAAAAAAATTTATCGTTATGTACAATAGATATAGCATTTTTTGCAGCTTGAAAAAAGCAGTAAAAAAAAACATCTTTGTATTTCCTTTTACCTTTGCGCTTAAATAACCTTATTACATGTAATTTTCAACTAAAAGCGACAAAATTATTCAGAATAAAATATATTCTTTATATTCTTTATACCTTTAATCCTTACTGTACCAAAATTTATTCGCGAACGAAGAAAAATCCCTCTTAAATACTATAATACTTAAGAATATTCCAAAAAACAAGGCATTTCCTATTAAAATTTAAAAATTCATTTTAAATCCATAAGAACCATTGAAATATACAAATCAAAAAATATTCACTACATAGAAACAGATATCGCTTACCGATTTAATTCTACTTCAGAAATTAATCTGAAAAAGCAAGAACATCGAAAGGTAATGCTGCTTCGATTAAGATCTTAGCATGGAAAAAACTTAAATATAAAAACCGGGTGAGGGTAAAGTACTGAGTATTTGCTTGTAGTTCCATCCTCAAAGGAACTAACAAATGAGGATCACCCTAATAAACGGGCAAAACAAAAATGAAGAATGTTGCTAGAGGAATTGTAAAATCCAAAATTAATAAATTTTACCACTGCAATTATCAATAAATAATAAATCAAGAAGGGTTTTTTTCTAACGATTTCTAAATTATATAAACTGCACTATATAAATTATTCAATAAAATGAACACCATTCTCATCGAAAAAAATACAAATCTCCAATTTCCAATATTTTCGAAATTCGTTAGCCACAGAAAAAGAATAAAATCAAAAAATACAAGACTTAAAACAAAGAATCACCGCATAACAAATGCATGATAATAAATTAATCTAAGTAAGTAAAATACTAATTAATATTAAATAATAAATACTAATAAAGCAATTAAGCGAAATAATTAAGGAATTAATAAAAAAAAACCAAATTAGAAGGCATTCTTGCGAAATATTAATATTAGGACTGAGAAAGATTTCGATAAAAATTCTGTTTCATTTTTTACATGAAAACTAGAGAAAAGTATATAAATAAGTTCTAAGAAACCATCGAAATTTTATATTTTTCCAATCGATTTCTCCGCAGTCTTTTTAAAAACTTTGAGAATTAGAATATATTAATAACCGATAACAATAAAAATAAATAATAATAACCGATCTTTCTCAATAAATATCTTCACAATCTTCAAAACTGCGATCCCAATACTTTCCATTAAAAATCCAAGAAGGTCCATTCGCCGCTTTACTTTCATTGAACCACCTGAAAACAACTGCTGTCACGAAAAGAGAACGAAAAAATAAATATAAAATAAATTCCACAAATAAATGCTGTGAATCAGCTTACTTATTCCTACAATAATTTTTTCATACGTTTTTTTTATTGTCTTGATTTAGCAAGATTCCATTTTCTTTCTTTGTATAGCTAAAAAACTAATTAAGCGTGCGAAATTTCTTATCTTGTAACGAATCTCATATCTATTAAGGCTATAATCAGATAATTATAGCTTCTGTGCATATATTTGTTATATTCGTTGCATGCCATTCTCACTAAAATATTTTTTAATGCAAATCAAAATTCTATAGATAAAGATGTTTAAAATAGGCTCATTTTTTCGAAGTTGAATTTATTCTGTTACCTTATTTTATTTTTTTTTAATAATTTGTTATAATTTTTAATTTATACTCATTTTATGTTAAACTTTTATTATTTATGATTTGTGTTATATAAAAAATAAAAATACCTTAGCCTCTTGGGTATGACGATAAATCGTTGGATCTTAAACTAGAGAACCGCATCCTTCCCGAGCTAATTCCCACCAGTCCTATCTCTTGTACTAAACATCAATTCTTTCTCCCTCAAATTATTCCTCCACAACAACTGCGGAACATATGTTTTTATAAAGAGAATATCCCAACATATTATGATAATTTTCATTAATCCCAATAAATGAAAAGTGAAGAAGGATAGATCTTCAATTTTGCATAGTTTTATACGTCATTTGTGAATAAAAAATAAAAAAATAAAAATAATTAAAACAAATTAAAATATTGTTATTATATGAACAAAAAATACCTTGGTTGTTTGATAATACCATTTTTTTGAGAAAATACTCGAGCTTCGCGCTGCTTTACTTCCAAAATACCTTTCTGATTAGCTGCCTCATCTTAAGTAAGCATATTTAAATACTAAATAGAGTATGTAAAATTGGAGGAAGATTAGGTGATTGGTCGGAAAAAATTAACTACTTAAAAACCTAAGAAATTATATGTAATAAGCTAATATAAATTCGTTGATGAAAACCTCACCCATTTCCCCCTGTTCCAATCGACGTATATCAGGCCGTAATCGCGAATCAGTTCGTGGAAGAAAATCATTAATATAATCTGGATCATTCAAAAGCAGAGAGAAGGACGTGAAATTATACATCTGAAATATAAGCCTAACTGACATTTTAACATAAATATGATCAATGTATTTAAAAATTATCAAATATAATATTAAGTAATTTTTCGCATTGAAAATGAAAGATAAAAGAAGCAATCATTAGCAATATAACTGTATTATAGAAGTATGAATATTAATATTATAATTTGATATGATAATATAATGATTAATATTAGAATTTAACAGAAACAAATTCATTATTGCAAAAAAAAAAAAAATATCTCTAACATTAGCTGAATTCAATGGGCGTGGCGCGCACCTCCATAATAATTTAGAATTCTTAATGAGCGGCAATTTTTCCTTAAATATTTGACTTTAAAGACTGTTTAAAGAAAGTTATAAAATTAATAAATAAAAGAATATGGACAATTGTATTGCTTGATCCGTAGATATAATTATTATAGAAGTATATACCAGTGGATCCTAGGGCCAGTGGATAAACTTTATCCCTAACAACAGGATACTCATAATTTATGTGAACGAGAGGAATCGAATATATGATGGGTTGATCAAAATCAAAGTCAAAGTACTCTACATATTATTACTTTAAAAAATATTCATTAAAATAAACTGAATCATAATCTTAAAAAATTAGGAAAAAATATGATTTGAAAAAATACCTCATCTGATGTATTAATGCACGACCGATATACGTTTAACCACGATTGATAAATTTTGTCGAAATCTTTCGGATGACACGTAGCAAAAAAATTTATCCAATTACCGTATAGGGATCGAACGATTTTGCCACTAAATTATTTTCTTAAAAAGCAATAAAATATGTATGTTTTTTAAGGAGAATCATATTATAGAGAAAAACTTTCAATATTTGTGATAAATTTACGATATGCAAAGTGATCCTTCAAAAAAACCATTTTGTATTCCTCGTTCTCTATAGTTGTTTTTCAGTATGATTTTACATTCCTTATCCAGTCCACATCGAACATTAATTTGACCATTCTGTTTTAAAATTTGAAGTGATTTTAAAAATGTTAAAATAAAATCAAAATATAAAAAAATCTGGAAAAAAAGCTATAAGTGATAAAAATGATTAAAAACAGTGAAGAACAAAATTTGAAAGGTTCTCACCAACTTCATATACATTTCTCCCATGATAATATTATGCACTGATATGTTGACCGCATCCCATGTGTAAATTTCTTTCCTTCTAAAAATTTTTTAAAATTTCAAGAATAACTTAATATAGAATTTTTGTATTAAAAGGAGAAGAGAAATAAAAATAAATAAAAATAAAAACCTTGTGAGCTTCAGAAAAAACTTAGCACAAGGCAAAATTTCAATTGAAATGCCCCAGAACTTTACACGTGGAGACACTGTGCCAAAAAATTCTCCAAAACGAAATTGCGCATGGAAAGCGGAAATAGGTGGATGATGGCTAACTTGCTCAGCTACGAAGCGATAACCTTCTTCATTTGATCTGAAACATCTATTCATTTTTTTTTTAAATTTTAACAATTCTCTTATTCTTTTTATTTACTTTTAAAGCAGAAAAAAATTTTGACAAAATTACCGATCTAATTCAAAGGTTTCAAATAACAATGGGTTGAATGGCTTCGCGAACCGCAAATAATTGCTCGATAAAGAGGATATAATAAATGCAATAACTAGCTGCAAAATAAAGTATAATATTTGCTAATAGCCTTTTTATAGCAATTATTTTTTTCCATTTTATCGGAATTGCTTTTTTTTAATAACTTCATAAATTGGCATTTTTTACAATAAATAATGAAAAATTATTTTGTGAGCCTTTTCAATTGTCTCTGAAATAAAAAAGAATATGAAGAAATATATAAGAAGAAATTTCTAAAAGAAAATAGGTCTAAATCCATACAAAGCAGAGCAGTTGGGATTGTTTATCATGCTGATGGTCAATTGTTGGAAAAATATTCGAAAAAAAACTAAATAAATCAAAATTTAAAGCTGATTCAAAAAACTAATTTAATTAAAATCTTTACGAAATTACTTCAAATCGTTCGACTTCATCATCGCAATTTTCAGCTTTTTCTAGCAGTTCAAAATATTCCATGTATTCAGCTAATCTTTGTAAGAAACTTAATGGTTCATTGAAAATGACTGGAATGGTAATACGTGTCAAATCCTAAAATATTTGGCATAATCCGCATGGCATAAACTGCCTGAGAAAGAGAAAAGAATGCGAATATGCCATGAATATCGCGAATTAATCAAATATTAAAATAAATAAATTGTGATAGCTTAAATAAATTATAATGCGCATGAAATTTGTCTTATAAATTAACTTCTGCCGCTATCCAACTCTCTGAACAACTCTCAATTAAAGCATATTATCGATAGGAAAACTTCACAAACTTGCCACTTCTATTAAGTAATCCACTCTGCATTTCATTGCTGCTGTGAATGTCAGTGAATAATGCGTCTTCATTCTATTCATTATTCAGTACACAGCAAACAAAATAAAAGCGATATAATGTATCGCTTAACATTCTAAATCCTTTTTCATTCTTATTCGCTTTTAATAAAAGAGATATTTGTTTATTTACTTTAATAAAGCCTCATTTATATCGCAATTATTCCACTGAATACATTCAAAATAAATAAAACTCTTCCTTTCTCATTAGTCATTACTATTCGCCTTTACAATCTCTCATTTCTGCGTTCCTTAAAAAATAATTTATATGAATAAAATTATATAAATCGGGAGAGTACGTCGCATATATTTCATCAAAATTCAAGCGTGATATGATAAGATATATCGAAGCCTAAAGTGCAGTTTGGCAATCACAAAAACTAAATTAAATAAAAGGCAAACCTTTCCAACGAACTGTCGCAGAATTGTCCAAATGCTTAAGTCGGCTTTGGGAATCACAGGAGAAGGAAGTGATTCTCGCCATTTTCGTGAAATTTTGCCACTATCATCTAGCGTTGAATCACTCAATAATGAGAGACTACGAGAACAATTCGTTGAATTTGATGCCATAATTCCTTATTCCATACCGAAAATAAAATGTGAATTAAAATACGAAATTATGTCAAATTTTTGTCTTTTTAACAAAATAATTATTCAAAAGGAGATCAACCACAATAATTCTGTTGCTTCTTCATCTTTACTTTCCATCTAACTGACAACTGATAACTAATGAAAGTCGGCCTTTGACTGATAATTCAATCAATTATCATTGATATCTTAGAACATGGAATGTCGAGTGGATTATTATTGTTGAGTCGACTTGTTTGCATCGAGCAGCGAAAGCTCAATTCCTGTCTTTCGAGCCTACCATTAAAAAACCGCGGTCACTGCAGCGCCGACCAAACTTTATTCATCTTATTAACTTCATCGTTTTTCTAACTTAGTCGAACTAAAATCCAGCAGAATCAGAAATGACTGCTCTATGACCTTCGAATTACGGGCGGGGAACCAAGTCCAAATCCATATTCGAAAAAAACCTTCGCTTGCACCTGCCTGGCCGCGAGACTTACATAATCCAAAGAATTCGCACAGCCACAACATTTCTCTTCAACTTTACCTAAAGTTGCTTTAAGTTGCCGAAATCATTGAAAACTGAGAAACTTCCGGGAAGCGATGCAAGGAAAATTGCAGATTTTACGAAATTTGAAAATCATCGATGAAATAAATACTTAATAACTATAAAATAACTATAAAAAATTAATTCAATTTGAGAAGTCATAAAAAACATCGTACCGAGTCAATCACTGCGAATATGATCCGAACTGCGAATACTGTGGACTATTTGTGATAACAGACGAACGTGGCCGAGATTCTCAAGTTTCCTCAGTTTGTTTTCTGCTTTTCTTAGGTGCTTGAATTTCAAAGGTTATTGGAAAATCGGCAAGGGGGAGGGGATTGCGGGTTGTGGACCATGTGGTGTAGGCGAAAAGATAGATTGGTAAGATGGTGAAGGGATCTCAGAGAGGAATGGGCGAGCGAGCATGATATTCTATGTGGTCGTTTGCTTTAAAATTCCAAACCAAATTCTTTGATATACGACGAAGTTTGATTTTACTAGCGATGCACTGGAAACTTGCTGCAGATTTAGTGAGATTCAATTCCTTCTTCGTTCTAATCTCCAAGACATTTAATTTTAAAATAATTAAACTCTAATTAAGTGGTTGCACAACAAAGGGAAAGGAAAAATGCAAAGTAATGCTGGTTATAAATAAATAAATAAGTGATTAATATTTGTTGTATTAATAATAATAATAACAGCAATATTAACAGCAATAATACTCGCGAAAGATTATTACGTAATACTGATAAAAACAGAATGATACTGATAAGACCATGATTAAAATTGATAATGTGTGAATGTAATGAATTTATTTTTCTTGCTTATAGTTAAAAGAATAATTTTAAGGTAATTAAACTCATAAATTAAATGAAAATAAGTCATTGATCATTGTATATTAATGCATCATGGATAGAAATGTTCTTACTAATCTCTTTTGCCATAATGCTTTATTTTTTCTAGGTTTTGCAAAAATGCCGAGGGCAAGTCGAATAGTACGAGTAAGTCGTTATCTTCGTGCATTACCTCGCTTTCTTTGGAATGAATATCCGGAACAAGTTAATTTTAGTTTTATTTGATGGCATAAGTAGTGAAATATTCAAAAAAAATTTCTTACCATTTTTCAGTTAGAAATAAATTTTTGCAATTTTCTGTAAAATTTATCTTTTTTTATTAGTAGTAGGATTGGAAAATCATCTGACATTTGTCCTCAGCAGATTTATTTTTTGACCTTTTAATCTTATCAAACAACAGGAATCGGGTCCATTGGAGCCAGCCTAACCAGCAATGGTGATAGCTGTTAGAAGAAAAAGAATCAACATGCCACTCTCTTTATATTGCTAGTTTATTAATGTATGAACCAAATAGAATATGAAGCCATGTGCTGGAGTTGATGATATTATTTGATTGAGGCTGCAATTTTTTTAAAAACGGAACAAGCAGTTAATGATATTTTTAAAACAGATGGGGTGAGGACAGCATTATATGGTAATTTGATCCAGTAGTTAATATTTCTAGCAAAAAATTGCGGGACAAGGCATTGATCTTGCAAATAGGCTTGTGCAGCTTCATTCCGTTACAGTTTAGGTTAATATGACTTTAAATCGTAAAAATTTTACCTGAAAATTTTTCTAACTCTTAGTAATAACTTTTAGTAAATCAGGATTTCATAGTTCTGATTTTGATTTATAAGAGGCTAGGATTTAGATGCGGTGGAGAAAGTACTTCGGGGATCTCCGATTAACCGAATTTAACTGAGGAGCATAATCGAGGTGAAAAATGTGCTATGTTATATTTTAAATGTTGATGGGCGAATATTTTATGTATTTTGATTGGGAAATTTGTTTATTACAGGTAGTTGCTGCATCCACATTTGGTGTTGGTGGTCTTGTTGCATTTGCTTATAAAATTTCCATTTATAGTGATGAAAAAGGTTGGTTCATTTCATTATTTATTTAATCGGCAAAATCTCGATTATTTTGGCTTTATTAGAAATACCTTTTTTTTTTCAAATTTAATTTTAGATGAAAAAATATAAAAGATTTAAAATTATTTTTTCATTATATTTTATTTTGCGTTTTAGTAACGCGTCCATATTACCGTGGTTCTTATGAGGTTGTTCGACCTGATGACCCTTTGGCTCTTATTTGGAGGAAACCTGAGGTATTGATTGAAACTGATGATAATATTATCCTATCTTTAGTAAAATTTAGATTATTTAGCCAGAAAATCATGTCTGAGTTTTAAATTATTAAATAATAACTTGTTTTTTACAAATTTCTTTTTGTAAAGTTTGTTAATCATTATTTTGTTCAGTTGCATTATATTTTTCGCTTATTTGAAGGTTTTCAAACATTTCAGGATTATCCTGCGCCTTATTTATCGAATCGTGAAAATGCTACTTCTGCTTCTTATAAGAAAGATTATGGATGGCGAGCTAATATTTAATCATTTATCTTTATATAAAATTTGTAGATAGACAGGTTTGTAATTAATAATTCTTTTGCCAGTATCATTCAGACTGAATGCAGATTTATATTTTGATTATTTATACGTTGTTTATAATAAGATTAATTAAATTGATATTAGAATAATATATTAAAAATTTATCATAAATTTCAATTATTTTGGTCGAAAAAATTATTAATTAAGGTTAGCTTTAATTAAAATTAATCAATTGATTGGTTTGTTAATTAAAATTAAGTTCATAGGTTATTGCATGTTCTGTAATAAATGTCAGTTAAAGTCAAAACTTAAAAAGAAAAGGTTTGGTTCATTGTGGATCATTTGGTGATCAAAATCTATAAATCAGCGAAATTCATCAATTTTCTCATTTTGTTTGATCGAGAGATATGGCTTTTATATTTGGCTTTTGGCTTTTATATTTCTTTGTATTAAGTAAAAAATTTTTGTAAAATAAGCAGTTTAATGCGTAGTTTTGTTGAAGGAATTTTCTAATTTCTTTAATTAATAAAAATTTACCTTATGACAAAGTTTTTCATCACTTTTTATTCTTTTCTTTTATCTATTTATGGTCGATCTATTTGTTTATTTAAATTCCGCCTCAGCAGCCTTGAGTTTTTTTAATGTGTTTAGTTTTTTAGTGTCAGATGGCTTGATCAGCATTTTTCCTCAGAATATCTCGGTGTAGATGGGTTATTTTTAATTCTCTGGAAAATGGAAGCTTTCTGTTGAATTGCGCTACTAAAACGGAAGAATATTCGCAGTTCTAAGAAGTGAAATAAAGTTGAATCGTTATAAATTCAGTAAAGAATTGCAAAAATTCGATATTTGTAGTAATTAGATTAGATGAGTGACCGTCGATGACCTTTTTGTTGAGCCTTTGAAGTCGTTTGTATGCCTATCATTTCTTTTAATTATCGTCATGCCGATGACAGTCGTTTCTTTATTGGAAATTTTCACGCTAGTTATCAGTTACAAGGTTTAATTTTATATTTCTTGTATAATTAGGGAGGGTAGGGTAATTCGATTAGGGTAAGAGGGTAGGTTAGGGTAGCGAATTCGATTGCCGTTATTACATTTTTTTTCATGATTTCTCCTGAGAATAAGTAAAGATTGGCTTGAGGGCACAAAAATAATAAACTATATAATAAATTGGTTTGGAAACGTTTATTTTCAAATCAACAAGTACAATTTATTGTTTATTGAGAAAATTTGTTATTTGCAGTAAAGAATATAATTTTGTAAAAAACTTTAAAAAAAGCTGGAAAACAAGGATTTGAATTGTAAAATGAGCAAAAATTGGAAATGTTTTGCAATGACATTGTGCATTCTGAAACTAAGACTTTTAATGTCTTGCTGTTGATGAAAAATTAATATAAAAATGGATCTAACGTAACTGCTTCCTCTTACTTACTTACTGCAAAGATATTAATGGCCAGTGGAATTTACATTTAACCACTGTTTACGCTTAATTATCTGCAAAACTCCGATTATCACTTGCAATTTATGAGTTATATTTTTTTTTCACTTTTTTATAGCACAAATTAAAATGCTAAAGCATCGATGAGTAATAAATTTTTGATATTAAATTTCCAAAATGAGATGTTTTGCCGATGCAAATTTCATATTCATCCTGCTTTATTGGAATAGCAAATAGTACTTCTTTTCAAATAGCTATTCTCATAAACCACTTGGCTGTTACCACTAAAATGAGATAAGCCCTTTCGTCATACATCGGGAATATAGGAAGCAAACATGCCTTCTGTCTCCTGGATTTAATGGCTTACTCCGGAATTCATCGAGTTCAGCTGAAACAATAATCACTCTGCCAGCGGGTTCATCCTAGATGTAATATATTGCAGTATATTCGCATTTGTCATAAAAATTTAAATGCAGATTAATTCAGGTAAAAAATAATCAGGATTGCTCTCAACCATCTGCAATCGAGTTGATTAACGGTCCAATTCATTGGGCAGTTATAGAGTTCGTTGATCAAATCTCAGGTATAAGAATTAAATCATCACCACTTTGGCTGAGCGAAGGAGTCCATTTTCTCAGGGTTTTCTTAATTGGATTTGGATTTGCTATTGCGTCATGGTGGCTTTTTTCAGGTCATTTCAACATAACTGCTTTCCAGATTAAATTCGCTAGATGGATTAATGAAGAATGTGGTGCAGTAATTGACTGTCAATTGTCGCGACCACTAACATCTAATAATATTGTAGTAAATTTTCGACAGAATGCTACGAATGCCAACACGGTTGTTTTGCTGGTTTTTAAAGACCATTGTTTACCGATCGATTCAAGTAAGTAAATATAAATAATATTTATATTTATAATATTTATAATATAATATTTATAATAATGTTATAAAATATTATAAAATAATAAAAAAGTGATAGAAAAATTGGGAAAATAAAAAATGTTATTGAATTAAATCAGAGCAAATGAGAATTTCAAAGGTGAGAATTTCTCTTGGCGTGAATAGACCCGTCGCTAAAAGTGGTGCTGAGGAAATCATTTCTATCGCATAGTTGTCCTCCTGATTCGATTATGAAGTGTCCTTTTCCTGATAGCCAGTGAAAATAACTGAAAACAAAAATGGTGAAAAGTTTATTATTACGTGAGTGGTTTGTAGAAAATATGATGCCGATCGACATTATTATCGCTGTAATTCGTTCACGAGAACATCTTCTTTCTTCATTGGCTCATTCGGACCTGAAATCTGTTTATTCGAATTGTACTGAAAATGCTTGGCCAGCACAGGATAACTCGTCAGTATTATCCCAAATAAACAACCAAGAATTTGTAATAGAAGAAGAAGCACGGAATGAAGGAACAGGTGGTGATTCGACGAAATGGCCAATTTATCATCCATTCTTCATTTCATTTTTCATCTCTTTAATCCTACTGACTTTGGTATTAGTTTTAATACGAATAAGACCTAACTTACGGAAGAAAACTTGTTCTTATATAAATGAAACTCATTTTCCTTTAATAGGGCAGGATAGCCGAGTGGATAATGATGCAGATCGTCACATTGAAAGGCGAGGCGAGCATCTAGCTCCTCCACTCGATAGGAGTAAACCTGTCATCAAAAAATCCGGGTAACATACTTCTGCCCCTGGTAAAAATTCCTAACTTTTCTAACAGCCACTATAGCGATCTTAACCAGAAATAATGGTCGCTAGCCATTTACATGTTATTTTTTTAATGATTTTTTCTATGATATATAATGGAGATCATTAAACCTAAAATTAATATTAAACCTAAAATTGGATAGGAAGTTAGATCGTTCGCCTGATTAGTTCAAAATATATTCTTTTCGAAAAATTATGCAAAAATGAATTTAATCAAAATGATTGGTATAATATATAATATTTGCTAACTTTTGGTAGCCTTTGACTTGTTAAAATAAACCAATAATATCATAATATCAGAAAGTGGTTAACGCTTATCATTTTTGGCTATGCTCCACTGAGTGTGGTTAGTGCAGTGAGAAATTTTCGCAGAAAATTATTAGAGGATAGAAAAACAGTTGAGTACCAGGCAGCGCCCAAATTGTAATCTTTACTATATTGCTAAAATTCGCATTTTTACTAACAAATATGGCACGAGGTTTGCTCCAATTCTGAATTCACTGCAGCAACTCGACATCGAATTATAAGATTTTTCGTGGAAAATAAAACTTTTCATCGGATCTATTAAATATGCAATAAGCTTTGAGAGTAATCAGTACTCGTTTCTATTCAAATAAAAATTTTTTGATAAAAATTTTTGAAAAATGTTAGATTAAAATGAGCAAAGGATTAAGATTTGTGACTATTTTACGTCGGAATTTTAAAAAATAAAAATCTCAAAACCAAAATATAATTGGCGATTTTTAGCCTAAAGCATTGCTTTCGAAAAGCATTTGTTTCGATATCTTGTACTGTAGTCTAGAAAATCGCTCATTATCACTGGTATCATTCCACTGTAATGGTTCCGTCCATCGCACTCGCAAATGACACACTGTAAATCAAATTTGTCAATCCTTAAAATTAATAAAAATTATTCGTTTAATTTCTGAATTTCAATTTGTATTTTATCACAAGTTTAGCTTAATCCTAAGGTGATGATATGTATTTTCAATCAAAAGAACGCAAAAAAATTCTATTATTCACAATAAGAATTACTTAAGGATAGAAATGCAGACCAGTCGCCCGGAATCTGTTAATGTTAGCAGAACCATTGGGATTTCAAGGTAAATGAGATTAATGATTTTGTGCAAATCCTATAATATGCGAAACTCGTGGAATAAAACTTGTGGAATACAAGTATTTGCCTCTTGTTAATTGGTTCCGTTTGTGCTTCATTACTGTATGGATATTGGAAATGTTTAAAAAATGACTGCAATTTTATAACTTATAATTTATAAATTTATTTTTAATGTACCATATCAATGTTTTAATGTCAATGTTTCAAATAATGTGGCAAATACTTGTATTGTTTTTGTCGGACCAAAAAATCTGACTCTTCTGATTTCATTTGGGCGTGAAATTAGGCATTGATTTTCATATTCTTGCTCTTCTGTCATAGAATGCAAATATAAATCCATTTATAAATAAAATAAAAGCTCAATTTGGCTGAGAATTTTTTATTTTACCATGTTAAACAATATAATATTAGTTCTTACAAAGTAAATTGTCGAGAACAACTTGGCTTGGCATGAATTTATTTGATTTGGTACTGTCGTAAGTGGTTGATCATTAAGATTTGCCATGTACGAAAACTTTTTTCTCATTCCCTGAATGGTCTTAATCATCCTCATGCTTAATTCACTTCTCGAATCCTCTACCAGAGGCCTAAGAGACTGAGTTCTGCGTAGTATCTTTGCTAATAGTGCGTTCTTCAGGATAAAGATCTCTGATATTATTCCTGGAATCTCCAAGTTCTCCAATTATTGCTGAGATTACTTTCCACTTAAAAAATTAATTTAATCATAAAAAGTAAAAAAACGAACTGATTGTAACTGAAAAGCATTTGTAGTACCACGATGATCAATGTTATTTTTTTATTTTTTTTAAAAGTTTTAAAGTTTCATTGCTATTTTATTATTTTCTTCAAATTTAATTTTTTTTTTCTTGTTTTTGGCAGGAGTAAACTTGCTATTATGTCAAAAATCCGGCTGGCTGCTGAGGATCCACTTGTAACTCTATCTTCAAGTGACTCTATGGTGAAAGGGTCAGATACATTTGATACGGCGTCCGCGTCTCCCGACGCGCATAATACTTCGAGCCCGGTGGTACATGCGATAAGTATACAATCCGGGCTTAAAGCGATCCCAAGGCTGGTAAATAAAATATGCTCGCAAGCCAGGGTAATTGCTCGAAACCTATCAAGGGGAACAGGTACAGCCGTCTGCACGCGCGTCGAGGTATTAGTATAAGTGTGGAACATCAGAACGCTTATGGACTTTGCAAGCCAAGCGATCACTGTCCACACCCTAAGTATCGCTTGCTTATCTGTCTTCCTCACTTTGGGTTTCGAGCAATTATTAATCCTGGTTCAGAGCAGAGATAATAGCTATATCACTGTGGTGCTTCGAATAACTCGGGACGAAATGACGTAGCGATTGTCATGTCTGACAAGGCCCATTCCGCTTTGATTGAGTGGAAACCGGCCTATGCCCGGTAAGTGTAAGTTTTAAGGGTAAGTTCTGCAATATCTCGGTCATCAGTGTCTATGCTCCAACTCTGTCGGCAGATGATCGAGATAAAGATAAGTTCTATGCGGAACTTCAACTGTATAAAGTCTCTACCAAAACCTGACATGATTATAATTGTGGGACACTGGAATGCTCGCGTAGGTCGCGTACGTTGCCGCTGTGATGACCTCAATAATTGGCAAATATGGCATCGAAGACCGATGTGCCAATGGGGAATGTCTTCGTTATGCCGAAAAGCATGAATTTTTTATTACTAATACTTGCTTCAGGCATCGTAGAAAAAATCTAGTCACGTGGAACTCTCCGGAAGACCAACACTTCAGATTGATTATTGATTATATTTTAATCAGTTGCCGTTGGAAGAGTCCCGTGATAGATAGTCGTTCCTATCGCAGCACTGGAACGGACAATCTGACCATGTTATGGTTCGAGCCAAGATCCGCATAAAATTGACAACTCGCAGAAAGCAGCATCCTCCAAGATCCTTCAACTATCTCAAACTAAAAAATTCGGGAACAGTGAGCGCATTTCAAACCGAATTATTGAAACATCTCAATACTGGTCCAAACTAAAGGAATGTCTCCGAAAATCAGCCACTTCCACGCTAGGGCATATTAGTAGGAAGTGCGCAAGTTGGGTATCGGAAGCAAGTGTTTGTCTGAAAAAGCTGCCAAAGCACGAATGTCAGGTGATCCTGACTACCGGGTGCTTCGAAGATTTGTAACGAAAGTAGCAAAGCGGGACAAAAATCTCTATTGGAGTGACATGGCCTCAAGAATGGAGGCGGCGGCTTGATTAGGCGATAATAGGAAATTATTCTGCCTTCTTCATAAAGCAACTATGACTCGGGGAACGATCAGTGAAATGGTAAGGCAATGGCGTACCAATCAAAGATATTAAGGAACGCCTCATAAGATGGAAAGAACTCTTTGAGGCCAAAATTAACCTTGAAGCGCCATATGCCCCTGATATAACTAATGCCTTTGCCGAAGCTTATGCTTGCAATTGCTAGTCTCCAACAGAAAAAGAAATAATTTCAGTTATCCATAAGCTTAAGGCCAATAAAATTCCAGGAGAAGATGCTCTTCAGGCTGAGTTTTTCAAATGTTGTCCATCGTTCTTCATAACGCACTTTCAACAAATGTATCTCTCTAGCATGGAAAAAAGAAATATTACCAGATGATTGGAACAAAGCAATTCTACTCCAATTCTCGAGAAAGGTGATAGGACATACTGCGACAATTATTGAGGAATCAGTCTAGTAGACATCTCAGCAAAAATTTTTGCTTCCCTGCTACTCAGCTGACTTATGGAAGTACAGGAGAGCAGGATGCGCCCTAATCAAGCTGGTTTCAGACCAGGGCCAGATATTCACGTTAAGAAAGGTGTTGGAACATCGCTTCAAATATTTGCAACCCACTGTCACATGTTTCATCGACTTTCCTTTCGACTTTCCTTTGCGGTTTCCTTTGATTCAGTTGATAGAGCGGTGCTTTGGAGGGTGATGGAATGTGATGGTATACCAGAGAAAATCATTAGACTCATAAAGACATTTTATGGGCGCACGTCGGCGCAGGTCTGTGTATGGGGAGCTGACAGATTCCTTCGAAAGAACAAGGGTCCGTCACGGCTGCATCCTTTCCCCCACAATATTCAACTATGCGATAGACTGGATAATGGACACTGTTTGTCGGCACTCAAGAGGTGTCCGAATTAGTCTAGAGTATCTTATCACAGATCTTGAATACGCTGATGATGTAGTCCTTTTTGCTGAGAGTTATAACGAAATGCAAGTAATACTAAATACTAAATAACGTGTCAGAAACTGCAGCAAGAATCGGACTCAGGATCAATGTAAATAAAACGAAAGTCTTTTCGTCTTATGTGCAAGAAGCTGATAAAAAGCCTCTTTTTGTAAATTCATTGCCGGTTGAGGAAGTGCATGGTTTCAAATACCTTGGGTCCACTCTAATACGAAATGGACAGGCAAAAGATGATATTATAACTCGGATCATGGCAGCTAGAAATGCGTTCTTCCGGTTGACGAAACCTTTATGGAATCACCATAAAAACGAAAGTTCATCTATATTGCCGTGATCCGTTCGATCTTACTATATGGTTCTGAGATATGGCCAATGAGAGTGGAGGATATTAGGAAGTTATCTGTCTTTGACCACTCTTGTCTAAGGTACATATTACTGATCAATCGAGCGAATAAGATATCACAAGATCGCATCCATCTTCATCTTCGTTCAAATACCACTTGCATAAATAATATTATCACAGAGCGCCGCCTTCGCTGGTTAGGGTAAATTATCCGTCGTCCACCACAGGAGTTGACGCTTATTTGCTAAACCGTGTTACAGTTGGCGTCAAAAGCGAAGTGGGCCAATTAAGATCTGGATCAAGACGGTGAGAAAAGATTTTGAACGTATAGGTGGACCAGCAATATATGGACTTAGACGATGGAAAAAAGAATGGCTTCTATTACTGTCGACGATGGCATCAGACCGCCCCACTTGGAAGCGTCTTATCCTTGTAGCCGTTGGAGCCAGGAGCCAGCCTAAACAGTAATGGTGAGAGCTGTTAGAAGAAGAAGAAAATGATCAATGTCATGGCATAAGCAAGCAACACCTCTAGCTCCTCTTTCAACCTTTGGTATTTCTCCAAACTTCTTATATTCCTTTTTCTCAACGTTCCTTGGTATTGCTATATCTATCATCAATGTTGATTTCTGACTTTTATACGCTACCTGATATTAGATTGATTGGTCAGTACTTATCTGAAAAGGGAAGTCCCGTAGAATCTCCGCGATTTTCCGGAGTCTCTCATCTTCAGAAGGCCTAAGCCTGGATATCAGTTACTTGGTTATGACTTTCAATGTGTGCTGTTCTTGCATGCTTTTTATATCATGCCCTTAGGTGCTGGACTGTTTCTGGAGATAAATTGAATAGGACTATGCTGTCAGCCTCCTATTTCAAATTGAGTGCGTTGTGAGAGTATTTCTGCCCATACACCTTGAATCTTGCTTGATATGGTTGATCCTTGCTTTGATGAGTCTGCTGCATAATACTTGCTACTTTACGGCTATGATTAATGCCTCAATGCTGCCTTTAATCCAGCTTTTTCCAACTGTTACTAGGATTTCTCAATGTTAGTTACATCAGCTATCTGTCGATTCATAATTATCTAGAGATAATGGCGTAGAGATTTTTAATGATAGGTTTTAATTTTAAATTTGTATTTATTCCATTTCTTAAAAATTGTTTATATTCATTACTCGATGGTGCAATCGAGGCCTCCTTGCTTTGCCATGGTTTTCTAATGTTCGTACATTCTCTCATCAGTTCATCCTTTGGTGCCATCTTGCTGTTATTTTCTGAATATTTCTAGTTTCCTTCAAGTAGTGGCTTTCACACTAATCAAGCCCCACCTTCTTTTCTTTGGGTATTGGACTTGGAGTGGAAATTTTCGTGCACTGTGACTGGCGGGGCGTATGTATTTATGAATTTTATCCTTGCTATTGAGCTGGCTCTTTAAGATTTATTTTGTCTTTTGGTGCCATCGTGCTTACTATGTGACTGTGGGATAGTTAGGTACTTATGATTAGCCTTTATATGTTCGCAGTAAATCTTGATGGCACGTCCATCCCATTAATTATTGCTACTTTTCCTTTCTTTATTACCATCATACCGCATTTTTCTAACCAGGATGTCCCAGTATCCTCGCTATAGATCCGTGTTAGATGGATGAGCGAGTCAACGAGTCGATGTCAACGTTCACTTTTAGCATATAACTTGAGTCATGCAAAGATGATGGCTGATGGTAGTCCTTCTATCGCTCATCCATCTCAGATCCATTTGTGAAATATTGAGTACAGGTTGAGTTTTTCCTGTAGTTTATCCAAATTGTATATACAGATTGTCCGCCGGGATTTTGAGTCTAGGGCGAGTGCCTTGTCTGCCTTATCTATGAGCAACTGGTGTCTGGAGCCTCTGGTGTTGTTCCCAATTAATTGCACCTGTAACTGGCTCATATGGTCATGAAGCTTGATGATTATAATGCCTGATAGGACTTCCCACTTTGTGAACAGATAGGTTATTGGGAGGTAGTTGGATGGTCTTGTTCTCTTATTGATCTTTCATGACTATGGTCTTTCCTTATAGAATCTAAATGGGAGCCTGCGACAATCAGCTGGTTCAGTTGTGTTGTAAGCCGCTCATGAACCTTAGCGTTCTAAGTCAATGACTGTGGGTCATGTTCGAACCATGTATTGTTCAACTTTTCATATTCCGCTGTTGAATGTCAATATAGTTATGGAAATTTGCTGTGACTTGTTTTTAGATCTTACTGCCACTTCCACTTTATATTGGTGTTATGAATCTTTCTCTCCCATATCTATCCAGTATTTTCTATTTATGCTGTTGTTGTTAGCGCGTTATTGCAGTGAAGTTGAGAGTATACCTTGAATGGTTCCTTATTCTAGTGGTTTGCAATAATGTTATCATAGAGCGTCGTCTTCACTGGTTAGGGTCAGCTGGTTCGCACGTTATCCGTCGTCCACCACAGGAGTTGGTGCATATTTCGTTATTTGCTACCGTGTGATGGTTGGCGTCAAAAGCGAGGTGGGCTAATCAAGTCCTGGACTGGCCTGGTGAGAAAAGATTTTGAACGTATAACTGGACCAGCAATATATGGACTTAGACGATGGAAAAAGGAATGGCTTCTATTATTGTCGACGATATTATCAGACCACGCCGCTTGGAAGCGTCTTACCCTTGTAGCCAGCTTAAGCAGTAATGGTGAGAGCTGTTAGAAGAAGAAAATTCTAGTGGCCAGTTGTGAGCCTTTGTTCGGCAATATCGAGTACCTTGTATTTTCCCAGCTCAGTTAGTTAACTTCTCTGCGTTATGCTCTGATCTTATTTTCTGGCCTTTTTTCTCCATAGGCGAATTGCTTTGTTATGCTTCTTCAGTGCTGTTGTTTTTTTTTTTTATATTTCGAGAATTAAGTGGCTGTAATCATTAATTCTTTAATTTCTCTTACAGTAGCAATATGAATTGTTGTAAGGATTTATTTGCATCTTCAAATATATATGCTGCTTCACTGAGCCTTGGTATTCGTTACGATTTAGTTGTAATTTCCGCAAGAAGAAAGGATCAATCCAGCTATAGGCCACTAACCAGTGACCACAGCTCAGAAATTCAGGTTCAAACGTAGATCGGAGGCAATTTTTTCCTCTTCTCATATAGAAAAGTTAATATAGCCATTTTATTCATGATTTTCTGCCTCACATATCACTGTTACGCTACTTCGCAACGGAGATATTGGAAGGCAATTCCGAGCCTCCCAATTTATTGTGTGCACAAATTCTTTTTTTTTTCTTTCTGCATCCTGCATCTGGGATGTAGCAGAATTGATCCATCTTCAACTAAGAGATGCAGTTTCCTCTTTCTTATATTGATGTATTGTGCCACTAATTGTTTTTCAGTTAATACAGACTGATTGTAATGACTGATAAAGAGCACTCGTTAATACTTTATTTTTTTTAAAGAGCCCTCATTATAGAAATACAGGTGTATCGCCAGCATCACCCAGAATTTTCGTGTGTGAAATAGAACTTTATGTTCGTTATAGTTTCTTATAGGCTTAGGCTAAATCAAAAAATATTTATAAAATATAAAATATTTAGAAAAAAATATTTTGCTACATATTTAAGCATTTCGTCTTTTCTTTTTCCATTTAAACAATGCTATTTGTGACTTTTAGAATTTTGAATCGGAATCAGAAATATCTTCGACCGCATGCCTATTAGGTAAAATGCAGCCATTAAACAGAACCAATGAGCTTTCTTTATGAATTGTGGAATAGAGTTAGATTGCCACAACGCTTGCTTTTTCCAGAACAGTTCTTTTGATGGAGCGGCGAATGGATTAGCTTTTACCAAGATGTGCGTTTTCTTCTTTTATCTTTCCATCGCTGTGACAATGCTTTCGCAAATATAAGGCTACAACTATACATATACCCTTCTATTTTCCCACCTTTTCTCCGAAATTATTCAAATAAACCTTATACTTTGGTGATTAAGTCGATACTGTACCACGCCCATTAGTGAGGCCCATTCGACAAATATTCATACAATTTTGATTAAAAACAGTAATAAAAATGAATTAAATAAAAATGATAAATATCCTCGAATTGATACCAAAAATGAACTATAACTTGAATGCCGAATAATTTATGCATTTTACCCATAAACCTTTCGCGACAATTCAGAATGTTTATGGATTAATTCGAAATCTAGTTAACTAGAAATCTAGTTAGAAATGTGATTCGATTGTGATATCTTGGTCAGATTATGGCCATAATGAGTTCGATGCTTCTTTCAATAGAAGTAAATCTGTCATTAAAAATGAAATATGGATGACGCAAAGGATCTAAATATACCCCATCCTTAAACCACTCGTCCATCCTACTAAGTGTTGTTAGAAGCAAATGAATGAACTGATAATGTCCTATCAATATTCAGTAATTTAATAATAAAACTGGAATAATAACTTTTTTAAATTGGAATTTCCTTAATTAATAAAAATGATAACCTCAATTTCAGAAAAAAATACGACAGATTTATAGAAAATATTTTTGTATAATTTTTATAATTCCACTTTTCTTAAATATTATTGTTAACGTTACAAGTTACTGAACGACAACGGAAAAAATCACCTAAAAAATTGTCAAACTTCAACCTGTAATTCTTTTTTCAACAACTTAAAAAAGAATTGTAAAAAATTCGTGCATTAAACATCTTTCAACGAACAAACTGGCTCATAACTACAGCCAGTAGCCAACCTAACTAATAATGGTTAGTGCGGGCTTATTCAAAATATTTTACAATCATGAGCATATTTATTAAGCAGATATTAATGGACAATCTTTAATCGAATCAAAATAAATCTAAATCTAAACACACTTTAACCTAGTGCCCATCTAGTTGAACCAAACAAAAATAATAATATTTTAAGAGATCCGAGATGGAACAGTTCATTTCTTCTTTATAGCTATAGGCATAGACAAGTATTAATTATATTAATATTAATTAATATTAATTATATTATCAAATTGTTGTTTGAGAAAGTTGAGAAAGTTGTTGTTTTTATTATTTGCAAAAAAATTTGGTAAATATAAATCAAATCAAGAGATAATTATTTATATGAATGGCGGTGAAACCAGCCAGAACGGTAGAAGAATCTACAAATGAAAAGAATAATAATAAATAATAGAATACAATTATAAAATAATAATAATAAAAAATGATAAGATAAAACATGGAACATGTGAAAAGTATTTTCTATATAAATTTAAATGAACCACAACCACCACCTAATTAAAGCAACTGTCCTATAAAATACTTTGAAATATGTCGATCTCTCTGCAAAAATAATTTTACCATTATTTTGACAATTTTTCATTTTATTTTCTTTTTATTTCATCAAATGATATTACTCGCTTTTTTAGCCGCTTACATTTCACAATCAGTCGAGTGATTGCTGCTCAGCCTACCAAGTTTCGGACACTCCTTCCAATGGAAGTAGAATTGTCATTTAAAAACCAATGATGGGAATTTATCTATATTTATCTATATTTCCATTATATTTCAAGAGATTCCTTAGTAAAAATTTCTCATTATACTAATAATCAGTGGAACCTAACCAAAAATAGTAAGCGCTCATCATTAATCCATTGTAAGTATCAAAAATCTAAGAAAATTTCATATCTGAAAAAAACCAATTTAAGAAATACAAATTGATTTAAAAATTATAATTTTAAAATTATAATTATAAATTATAATTATAATTATAATTACAACTACAATGAACAATAGAAAAATAATATAACCCCTACCCAAAAAAAAACTTTCTATAAAAATGGAATAATTATAATTGTAAATTGTTTTCCAAAAAACTCATGGAACACGCGTTAATGTGTCAACATCTGAAAAAAAACTATTACAACGAAAAATTTTGAATCTTTTTGAATAGTTTGTATATTGAAAAAGAATTTTGAAATGAACCAGATAAAAGGAAATATAAAACATGAAAATATCAATCCTTATATAAAAAACCTTAAAATATGTAAAAATCTAATTAACTACTCCAAAATAATTTATATAACGTTCTCATGTAAAAAAATCCTCATTAAAACCATTCTGCTTGGTTTATAGACTCAAAGAGCGTATACTTTTTACGTGCGAACTCCTGTATGAAAAGTTCACTACTATATATTCATTATTATATTAAATTTGGTAATATTATTCATATCATGCCAGTTCGAAATGGCTAAAAAAAACTAGCCATTCAGCAATCAATATTCTTCCTCGTAAACTACAACTGGTAACAAAAAAAGTAACTGCAGATAAATATTTTATGTAAAATGAAAGAATTCCTGCAGAATATGCATGAAGAATAAGAACTAGGAACCTATTAATGGCTATAGAAGGAAGTGAGATTACCACATCAAAATTATTTATCATCGTTATTGTAATTATTTATCGTTATAAATAATTTATCAAAATTTATTTATTAAATCCTCATTTTTCAAAAGGGTATATCGATATACGCGTTTCATTAAACTTGTTGGATATAAAAGTGGCTAAATAATTGGAGGCAAGTTTTAGGCAAGTTTTAAATTAGAATTGAATTTATAAATACCCTATTTAATTTGAATTCATTTGGTTTCCTTCGCAATTTACTACCTAAGGTATTCCCATGAAGTCATGTTGCATAAAAATAACAGCAGTTGCATCTAGTGGTTTATATTATACATATTGGTAATAAAATAAAGGTTATAATATAATATAAAATATGCAGTTTAAATATAAAATTATAAGGATTTCTATTGCCTTATAATCATTTATCATTTTTGAAAAAATTCTTCCGAAAATTCAAAACGAACGATATTTTTTACTGAAATCGTCTAATATTATTATTTTTAAATCTAATATTAACCATCAACAGAAATTATTCGTTTAATGACTTTAATTGAGAAGAAAATTTTTTGGAAATAAGGAATCACAAACATTGATCGCTTATTAAATAATCGAGTACAAGTCCGACGAATGTTTTATTCGATTTTGCTTGAATATTTCCGGATTGAAAATGCCTGAAAAAATTCACAGTAAATCAGATATCCCAGCATTTCAAATCGCAAAAAATTGAAATAATCATAAATTAAGAAATTCATGATTTCTGAAAAAATTTGCCGTTAAAATCAGATATATTTTTTAGATAATATAGAGGTAATATATTTCTCGTTTTCTTAATAATGAGGTAAATTCATGAATTATCTTTACAGCAAAAAACTTTAATAAAAAATGTTCTAAATATTTTTCAGCTTAGATATTAATTCAAGCAAATGAAATAGTTTAATTTAGAAATAATTTAAAATCAGAAATTATACTTATTTAAAAAGCAGAAACCAACCAGCCGAGATGTGCAGAACAATGAGGACACATTCCAACAGTCCATTCAAAACCAGGAAACCAAGTAGCATGCATGTATGCCTAAAATCTTTAAATTTTAAAGTACTCCATTGTAATTCAAAAGTATAATACTGACCTTCCCTTGAAGTTTCAAATCTGCGCTTGAAGCTGTTATAACATCGAACGATTCGGCTGAAAACAATGAAACATGTAATGTTCTGATAAAAAATTTATGACAGAAAATTTTTTACGAAATGTTTAAAATAACTGAAATTTGGCTGCAAACCTATTAAAATAAATATGCAATCAATAAATATTCATCAGTAAATATTGAAAAATCACATGTGCTAATAAGAAATAACATAAAAAAAAGTAAATATAAAACAAAGTTATTCATTGATCAAAAGAAATATAATATTTCACCAATCAGATAATTGAAAAGAATTTTAGCATTAAGAATGTTAAAAAAATTCATATCACAAGTCTTTAACAAATTATCAGACAATTTTATCAAGGGATAAAATAATTAAAAAATTTAAGAATGTAATAAAATCCTTAATTATTAAAAGAACTGATGCTAGCTTGTAAAATTTTTTATTTTTGCCAGTCCTCTTATCCTAACAGCAGATTGCATATGCATATTTATCTGCCTACTTTTACCTTTTTCTCTTTTCTTTGCAGCCTAATAATCATGTAACTTTGTTCCTCTTTGTATTCACTCGCAATCACAGTCACGTCGGTCAGATTAAAAAAAGGTGCGGAGAAGTGAAAAAACGCACGAACGGGGTTTTCGAAAACCTGAACAAGCTGGTTTCGACCAAGAATTGTCATATTATAACTGCGTAATGCCAGCTTGCTTCGCACATTCGCCAACAAAACTTTATCAACTACTGTGTGTCCGCAACTTCGACAAATCAGCGAGTCACATTCTATAACAAAAAAAGTATCAGAAATTGAGAGCTACGAAAGAAATGAAGGAAAAAAGTGACATGAGACAAATTTTATTTTGCTGCCAAATATTATTTGATTTTAAACTTTCCGAACTCTCTTTTCAAATAGAGAAAGGCGCGAGAAAATGGTTGATTCATTAATTGGTTTTTCAATAAAATTAAATATTTGGCGAAGAAACTAAAAATGGATCAATGGAATTCAATAAAAATAGTTATGTTTAAGTGAGCACAAATTAAATGGATAAAAATTTGCTTTTATTTGAAAATCTGAAGAAAAACAAACCAACTGAAAGGATAAAAAAAGGATATAAAATATCAATAAACGACCGCACAAACATTACGATTATAATTAAAATCACCGGTCAAAAATTCACAATGTACCGTTCCAATTTCCCTCAAACAATCCGCAACTGACGTGTAGAATTCTGAGGAGACAGAACCGTTAACCGTTCGGCTTCGGCTCAATTTCAAGCCCCTCGGGCTCCGAGCAAAAAAGCCAAAAGTGGTGGATTATTTATAGCTGTTGCTTGATTGCTAATGCTAATGGGCTCGAATAAAGTAGTTGAGGAGGTGTTGCGGAATTTTTTAGTTCCAGGTAAAAGGCGTAGTCAGATTCCGGTGGATCTATCAAGTGTCCGCGTTAATGAATTTTCAAAAGGTTCTAATGGAATTATGAAATTAATGCGTGAGGAAATTTTAAACGAGAATCCATTCCGCTGGTGCGACGTTCAGCATTAACCAGGAAAGCTCAAAATGACTTGGCATCGTCTGCGACAAGTCGACCACGTGGTACTAAGTCAGTCATTGCGGTCTGAGCTGATTTTTTGGCAGTATTTGATATAATTATTAATTATTATATAATAATTATTGGAACCAACATATGATGCTCAGTCGCTGTATCAATAACGTTTCGTTCTTTTTTGAGCGCCTTTCGGCAATATTTTGCGATATTTGATTATAAAATATTCATGTTTACTGCATTAAAATGCAGAAATATTAATTTTTCTGAAGTTAAATAAGAAAAGTTTGAGTAATTTGATAAGAACACCGTTTTGTAACTCATTTCATTTCAGCTCTTTACTAAAATTACGTGTTTGGCATGTCGAATGCCATCATCGGTCTCTCTCTTCACTCATTCTATGCATCCTATCATGTGTTGAGCAAATGATACAGCATGGGACTGGTAATTTGTTGATATGACAGGAAATTAGTTCTGAGGTTTAATTCATTTCATTTTGCAGTGAAGCCTTCGACTTGTCGTTTGGTATACTCTTCGATATTTTCTTTTATAGAAGGTTTGAGAGCAGTCGATTTCTCGTCTATCGTTTAAATTATTCTGGTTTTTTAATTTGCAGTCGTTTTTGTGATAAAAAATAAAAAAATTGAAGATCTGTTGCCAAGAGAGAGTGAATGAAGAATCTCGCGAGTGCATGCTTAACAAGGACATCCGAGATGTGAAGGTTATCCCAACTGCCAAACTCTAACAAGCAAAAAACCACATTAGACCACATTAGACAATTACTGATTGTCCGCCTGTATTTCTATCCCCAAGTCACTCTATGGTGAAAGGGTTAAATCTCTGTGACGCGACGCCCGCGTCTTCCGACGCTTATGATACTTCTGATCCGGTGGTACATGTAATGAATGTACGATCCAAGCGTAATAATAATAAAATAATTCCTAGGGTGAGCATAGAATATGCTAATGAATATAGATAATTCTCAAAATTTCAAGGGAGACGAAAACCTATCCATTAATAAGCGCGGCGAGGTGCTGGCTTAGAACGTCAGAAGGCTTATGAATGTTGCAAGACATACCCACCTTATACACCCTTTCTAAATACTGAGTGGATGTGGCTTGGTTGTCAGAGATCCGTCTTCCTCATGTTGGCTCCCGAGTAATTATTAAATCTGGTTCCAAGCAAAGATATTGGTTATATCACTGGGGTGTCTCGGATAACTCGAGACGAAATGGCATAGCGACTGTCATGTTTGAAAAGGCTCGATTGAGTGGAAGCCAATGAATGATCGTATGGGCTATGTGCGTTTCAAAGGAAAAAAATATTTTGGTCATCAGTGTATATGCTCTTACTTTATGCATAGATGAATGATAACTAATATTTCAATCAGATTGGTTATATAGTCAGTCACCGCTGGAAGAATTCTATACTTGATAGTCGGGGTAGTGAAACTCGCCATAAATCAGATCATGTTATGGTTCGAAATTCCAAGATTCATAAAATTGACAAGTAACAACGTAAGAACAACGTATCCTATGATTTTTCAAAGATCTTAAATTAAAAGATCCGAAGGCAGTAAGCGCATTTCAAACCATATCGAAATACCTCAGTGAAATGAACGACATCTCTAGAAAGGCGAATGAATAGTGGTCCTAATTAAAGACATGCCTAAAAAAGTCAGCCACTTCCACACTAGAGTATACTAGTAAGAAATATGCTAGTTGGGTGTCGGAAGCAACTGTCCAATTGTCTGAAAAGGCTACCAAAGCACGAATGTCAGAAGATCCTGCTTATCGGATGCTTTGAAGAAAAATAGCGATAGCAGGATAGGCCAGAAGAAAAAAGCGATATGGCCTTAAGGGCGATAATAGGTGTGCAAATCAGTCCAGAGTATAGTATTATAAACCAAATATCTTGGATCTACTCTAATCCCAGATGACCAGGCAAAGAATGAAATTGTGACCTGAATAAATGCATGTTTTCCGGGTTGATGAAACCTTTATAGAACCGTTGCAAAATTACCATAAAAACGAAAATCCGGCTCCATTTACCAGCAATTCGCTCGACATTACTATATAGCTGCGAAACATTGCCAATGAGAGTGAAGGATATTAAGAAGCCATCAGCTTTTGACCACTTATTTCTAAGATATATTTTACACAACCGTAGAGCAGAATCGCAAAATCGCAATACGATTATATCCATTTCATTCATATACCACCTACCACCTATATTAATAATATTATCACACAGAGCGTCGCCTTCGCTGGTTTTATCACGTTCTTCGTAGGCTTTTACAGGAGTTGGCACATACTTGCTGAACCCTGTGACAATATCAGAAGCGAGGTGGACAATCCAAGCGTGGACTGATACAGTCAGGAAAGATTTTAAGCATATAGGTAGACTGGCGATATATGGACTTAGACGATGGAAAAAAGAACGGCTTCCATTACTGTTGACGCTGGCGTCGGATTGAGCAGCTTGGAGATCTTTGTAGCCAGTCTAACCAGTAATCTTGTTAGAAGAAGAAGAAGGTGGCATTCGACATGTCAGTAAGGAAGAGTTGAAGTTCTTTCGTAGTATTGTTGGTGTTATGGCGGGGAATTCAAGAACTGTGGCAAAAGATCAGGAGTTGCAAAAAAAAGAATTAAAGTGTGTGTGTGGAACGTAGGAAGCATGTAATCAGGAAAATTTAACATGAAATGAAACAGCCAAAAATTCTTAGATCTTAGATATTAAATATTAACGAATTCAAATGGAATCGGGTATTTTTAGTCAAAAGATTGTATGGTTTATTATTCAGGCATGAAAAGTAAAGAAAGAGTGGTGTTCTAATAGTTCAGAAGGGTATAGTAAAAATTATCAGTGACTGATCAGTGGTTAATATCTATTATATTCCGTTGATATCCCTTTGATATAACGATCAATCAGATTTATTTTCGAACCACTTGGCAAAAGAGGAGTGTAATGACTATTGTGATCGATTCGAAATCAACAGAATATGGAAAACTTGCTTGTGATTGGTGATTGAAGTTGGAAATATGAAAAAAGAAAAGGTTGTTGGCTTAGTAAACATCAATTTCTTCATTATTTCTTCATAATCAACACTGTCTTCATACAATGACGCTTCTGTATATGGTTTTCGCCAGATGGAATATATGGGAATCGAATTGACTATATTATTGCTAAAAGGTGGTGATGAAGAAGTTCAATAACATGTTCAGAGACATGGCATTTATTATAGAACAGATCACGAATTGTTTATGTGTAAAATTCGAGTTAAGCCAAAAAAAAGCCACTCAGCTTTCACGACATGATTTTGAAAATCACCATTTTCAAAAGGAATTGCTTTGAAATCCTGTATGTCATAAATAGAGAGCCAGAGGAATTATGGCATGAAATTAAAGAAATTTTTAAATTGTTAAAGGTGTGATAAGTGATTACCAAAAATGAAAAATGAAGAAAGCAGATTGGATATCTGAACAAACCGTTAATATATCCAAGATAAGAAAAGAAGCGAAAGCCAAAAAAGACGAAAAAGGAACTTTATAAAGAGAGCTGTAGAAATACGAAAGAATAATACAATAATATTTGTAAAAACATCAAAGATATAAAGATATCACAGGCGATGTTCCTTACAAGAATTCCTAGTACTAGAAAATAAAATTAGATTAATACTCCATGGCCAAGCGACTGGAAAAGACAAATCTGCATTCCATTACAAAAAAAAATTTGAATATGCAAATTATCATACAATATTCCTTATTTTTGATGCTAGTAAAATAATGCAATAACATGCCAGTAAAATAGTGCTCGCATCACTCTTCCTTTTATCCAAAGCAGATTAAAGCCTTACGGGAAAACGATGCCATAAGAAATACGAGACATAATTGATTATATATAGTGGATAGCTGGAAAAGTTAGTATATGCTTCAATCAAAGGAAAGCCTTTGATTATGTTGATCACTCAAACTGTGTATTCGGAAAAGTGGGAATCCCTGGAAAAATGAAAATGGAACCATTTTCCTTATTAGAAATTTATATACAGATGAAGAAGCCGCAGTAGACAATTGGCTTCAATTTGATAAAAGAGTGACAAACGACAAAGATGCCCATTTCTATTTCTATTTCTATTTCTATTCAACTTTTGTGCACCATATTAAGAAAGGCTTGGAAGAAGATGAACATGGTTTTTAAATTGGAGGAAGAAACATCAATAACCTATGCTGATAGCAGAAAATATAGAGAGTCTCCATGTTTAAATTTTAATT